TCTACCAAAGTTTCTTTTTTTGTTTCAGATGATACCTATTCTTAAAAAAGAGGCAAATTTGGAGGAATGGCAAAAGGGTATCAATAATTTTATATGGGCCGGGAAGAAACCAAGGGTTAAATTTAAGATATTACAGGATGCTCGAGAAAGAGGGGGACTTAAGGCACCCAATTTGAAATTATATTATGATGCAGCCGCCCTAACTTGGTTAAGTGATTGGCTTAATTTAACAAATATGGATATTCTTTTTTTGGAAGGTTGGGATTTAATATATGGTTGGCATGCATATTTAATTTTTAATAAGAAAGTTGATCGGACTTTTAAATCACATATTTTGAGGAATGCCTTACTTCGTGTTTGGAAGAAGTATTATTATAGATTAAATTATAAAATACCTATCTGGGGGATTCCCAGACATGCAATTGAGGGAACCTCTAAGGGGACAAATTTTGATAAAATTTCATATAAAGAATTGTTAATTTGTTCTGGTTCGAATTGGCATTTGAAATCCCTAGATGTATTAAGGCAGCAAAATATTCTACAGTCATGGTTTCAATATTTACAAATAATGGATAGATGGACTGTAGACAAGAAAGAGGGAATAACACTAGAAGATAGACAATTGGTTATTCAGATTAAAAACCAAGGTCCGGCTCATATAAAAAGAATATATAATGTTTTATTAGAGTTAGATTCGGAAACAGAATTGGTTAAAGATTGTATGATTAAATGGGCTCAGAATATACAGGAGCCGATCTCATTGGATTTATGGGAGATAATTTGGATAAGAAATGTTAAATTTACACAAGCTCAAAATTTGAGAGAAAATTTTTATAAAATGTTTTATAGATGGCATTTAGATCCTAAAAAATTATCTTGTATGTATTCCAACATACAGCCCAAATGTTGGAGATGTGGCAATAATGATGCGACATACTTTCATATTTGGTGGAATTGTAAAAAAGTAAAGGCTTTTTGGATTATGATTTGGTGGAACATTCAAAAGATTTTTAGAAAGAAGATAAAGTTTACTCCTCAACTATTTTTACTTGGTATTTTTGTTGACTTAAATGAAAAAGAAACTACTTTGATGTTGAATTTATTAACTGCAGCAAGGTTACTAGTAGGTCTATATTGGAAGAAAGATTCTTTGCCTACTTTAGAAGAATGGATATTTAAAGTATCTAGTTTTGCAGAAATGGCAAAAATTTCTGCTTATTTAAAGGATCATACACAAGAAAGATATATTACTGTATGGGGAAGGTGGATAGATTATATTCAGAAAAAATATGGAATTAAAAAGTTTTATTTATTTTATGAATGAATATCAAATATTATAGAGAATTGTTTTATAAGTTATGGAGTTAAAGGTTAATTATGATATTTTTTTTTCTTTCTCTTTTTTTTTCTTTTTTTTTAATTATTATAATTTTCTTTTTCTTTTTTTTTCTTAACCCTGTATTCTGCTCTGGGAAGTGAAGGGAGGGGGGGTGGGGTGGGAGGGAGGGTAAGGGGGGGTTCTCTATTTTAAAATTTTATTGTATTTTTATAAATGATTGTATGTTTTTAAAAAAATAAAAATTTTCAAGATAAAAAAAAAAGAGAGTCTATTCTATTGGCTTTCAAAAGCCAATAGAATAAAAGGGAGTAGCACAGCTAAGGAAAAGGGGAAAAAATGGCGGACTGCGTTGTTTGGTGACTGCCGTGAAATGGTCATTCGACCCCAAATGGGGTCCCGACCCACAGGTTGAGAACCACTGGTCTAGTCTCTTCTTAAAAATCTCCAGTGATGGAGCGCCCACAATTTTTGAAGACAAGCTGTTCCACTTGTTAATTGTCCTCACTGTTAGGAGGTTTCTCCTTAATTCCAGGTTAATTTTCTCAGTTTCCAAATACTGTTTCTTGTTCTGCCCTCTGATGCTTTGGAGAATAATTTGACCCCCTCTTCTTTGCGGCAGCCTTTCAAATATTGGAATACTGCTATCAAGTCGTCCCTGTTTCTTCTTTTCTTTAGACTAGCCAAATCCAAGTCCTGGAGCCGTTCTTTGTATCTTTTAGTTTCTAGGCCTTTGATCATTTTAGTTGCTCTTCTCTGAACTTTTTCCAAGGTCTCAACATCTTTTTTGTAGTATGGTAACCAAAATTGGTTGAAGTATTCCAGGTGTGGTCTTACTAGGGTTTTATAAAGCAGTACTAACACTTTGCGTGATCTTGATTCTATGCCTCTGTTTATACAACCCAGGATTGTGTTAGCTTTTTTGGCTGCTGCTGCATATTGCTGGCTCATAGTCAAGTGCTCGTCCACTAGGACTCCAAGGTCCCTTTCACAATTACTGTTTTTGAGTCAGGTCTCACCTAATCTGTACTTGTACCTTTGATTTTTCCTGCTAAATGTAAAACTTTACTTTTCTTCACATTAAAATTCATTTCCTGTCAATTATCTGTATGGCCTTAGAATCTTGATTTTTAGCAGGCAGGCAGGCAGGAGTAGCAATTGTTATTTTAAAACAAAAGATACATACAGTATTAGCAAAAAATAGATTAAAATAATAAAAGGAATAATGAATCAGTGACTGGCTCGAGAATCTATCTTTTCAAAATATATATATGTCAAAACATATAGATGTCATACATCATGTAATACTTACTCTAAAGTTTAGGATTGTTCTATTAACTTCTGCAAAACTTTGTTCTTTTTTATTATTATTTATTATTTTATTTATTATTCTCTTAGCTGTTAAATGCAACCAACACCATTTATGTAGTAATCAGTCCTTAGTCATTGAAGGGTGCAAAGAAATGGCCGCTCTCTACGCAGCATTTATTGTTTATATAGAGTTTTACAAATAGCAAAAGTTACTGCATGGCAATAGCATTTCATTGGCTAAAATCCTTTACCAATCCTCAAGAGTAAAAAGCTAGAGGCCATAAACAGGGAAACTTGTTGTTCACCAGCCAGCCTTATCAAACTGGCAAGGTCACACAGACCTGCGCACTTTCACGTCACTATGGTGATGTGGGGGGGGGGAGATAGATGCAGAGAAAAGACACAAGCGTTGGGGGGGCAGTTTTCTGCGCACGACTTTTGCCTGTCTCTCACCTCTACACATTTATGAATTCTTAGTTTCATACAGACACAGAGTAATATAGATGCCATACTTTTGCTACATACTTCATACTTTTGCTCTTAATGAAACTTCCAGCTACACTTCCAGATATATAGTTATCAAGAGTTGCAGTTCCAGTGGTGGGATTCAGCTGGTTGGCACCACTTCGACAGAATCGGTAGCTAATTTTTTGTTGCCCAGGCCCGGAATGGACTTCTGGAAGCGGCATCCACGCAGAGAACCAGTTGTTCACATATTTGAATTCCATTACTGTGCAGTTCTATCTGCAGGAATATCTTGCCAAAGTAACACTCATGTTCTCATGCTTACTTGGTTGGACTACTGCAATGTGCTAGCTTCAAAGGCATCTCAGAACCTACAGTTGGGTTAAAATGCAGTTGCCTGCATTTTAACTTTCATAATGTACCAGGAGCAGATAATATCTGTGGTACATTTATGTTTCTGAATATAATCTGAAATACTTGTTTGATCAGATGTCAAAATGTCCAGAGGTCCACCTTTTTAACTTTTTAAAAACAGAGTCAACATTCTCTCTCTCTCTCGCTCTCTCTCTCTCTCTCTCTCTCTCCCTCCCTCCCTCCCTCCCTCCATCCTCCCTCCCTGTATTAGAGAACAGCCTTTCCTTAGTGATTTGATTGCCATCTAGCTGGTTAAGATATCTGAAGAGCTTTTTTCAATCATTTCAATCTCTATTTCAATCATTTTATTTTATTTCAGTCATTCAATCATTTTATATGGCCATCCACCTTGCATATTTGACTCTGGATGGCTAAGCAAGTTTTAAAAATTGTTCAATCAATAAAATACAGAGAGAGAGAAAAAGAAAGAAACAGGGACCAAGGACAACTAAGATACTACAGTAATAATAATAATAATAATAATAATAATAATAATAATAATAATAATAATAATAATAATAATAATAATACAACCCCTAGCAACTATCACTTAAGCCAGCTAAATCCCAGCCACCAATTTGGAAAAAATAGCTTGGTTTTGACAGATTTTTTTAAATTGCCTGACACTATTGTTAGCTTTGACAGAAATGGCTCTAATTTGTTCTCACCAAATTCTGCAGCTATGAAAAATTACACCAATATATTTAGGAGATGGTATTATTCCATTTTATTTTTTCCCAATTTTGCCCTCGATGTTTGTAGCAACTAGGTCTTTCTATGAAACCCAGAATTTTGGTCTGAGTGATTGATTGTAAATTCAATGAATTTAAGAGAATTTTCTTCCAAGTAATTGTCCGTAAGCTTTTAGCCAAACTCACGCATGCCTTCCCAAGCAAGTGCCACTGAGTTTAAGAAACTGTGTCACATAAATTCAGGGAATTTGTTAATAAAAGTTGGTGTAGAATTTCGTATCTTTGCTAGGGGGAAAAACCCATTAAATTGTCATTAAACAAAAAGCTACTTTGGTCTAAACTAAATTTGTTAAATATCTATGGAGATTCTTAACCATCCATGTTATGGTTGTCCCAAAGGTACTTTTCCAAAAGGCAACTGTTCTTATTTTTTTTTCCTTGAAAACTTTTGGCTTCTTATCAGTTCTGACTGAATGGCGGGAATGGAAGGATTTATAGAGAGCCAATGACTTTTTTGATGAGAAGAAACGCTTTCAAGGAAAAAATAAGGAAAACCCAGTTTCCTTTTGGAAAAGCACTTTTGGGGATTGAATTTGTCTACCTTTAAGCTGCAGTCCCATTGAGTCTTGCTTCTATTTTTTTTATTTCTAATGTTAAAATTATTATTTTTCAGTGCTTTTGTTTTAGCCTAGCAAAGGCGTGACCTTTCGCTTGTCATTCCACTAAAGACTGAGTTGCTTCGATTAAGCTACCTGCTGTATAGAAGGCGGTCGAACCGGAAAATTCAGTCTTGCGCAATTTTTGAGCGAAAGGTTGCTTTTTGGACTCGGTAGAAAAAACGAGAGGTTCCTTCTTTCGTTACTGATTTTTTACTGGCATCTTGGAAAGCGTTTACCAGACATTGTATCGTTTTATTCGTTTTACCGTAAAATCATCCTGATTCATGGCAACCCTGACGCCCAAATCTATTTTTCGTTTTTATTTTCTTCCACTTTCTCTATCAGCGGAATCGAGTCTGGACATGTAAGGAAACTCAGTTATTTCCCCGTTCACATAGCCGATGATCTTGAAAAACTAGTCAACCATGGAAGCAGTGAATGGCCTTGTTCCCGCGCAAAATCAGCCGGGCATTGAGTTACGCCGAAAAGACGAAGAAAGAGGAGAAGAAAGCGAGCTTCTGCAGCAAGTAGCCCCTCGCGTCGTCGAGGTAAGTCACTGCGTGCTTCGCTTCTTCTTTTTATTTTTGGAAAGTTTTTTTCCCCCAAAAAAACAAAACAGGAAATTACTTGATCAGCATCCCGTTTAGCGCAAGAAGGAATTTACTGGGAGTTATTGAGCCTGGGAAATTTACAGTAACTCTAACGCTGTATGGGGGGCGGGGCGAGGGGAGTTATGAAATCTCCTGGGAAGCAACAGGGTGTGAATGAGTCAATTTTGTGTCTACGTGTAGTATCGATGCGACTATTTACACTCTCACCATGGCTGCTCATGTTAGGTTTAATTTGTAATCGGAGGATATATATTTATTTCGCTAGTAGAATAGTGCACATATCTTTGTTAACCAGAGGCACTTTTCTAAGCTCTGACATTTTAACTGTGTTGGACTGTAGGGTCATGTCAAAGTGATTCACTTATCTCCCATTAAGCCAGAAGACAAGCAACTATTCCATTTCTTCCCCACATCTGTCATAATAGTAATTATTTAGCTTATAGGCTTAGAAAGATAAGAACATATTCAGTGTCTATGCTCCTTTTTTCTGAGAGTTCAAAGTGGCTTCACAGACAGTTTCCCCTTGTTTTATCTTATAAGACTAACCCTATAAGGTAGGCAGCCTGAGAATGGGCAACTGGTCCAAGACTACCAGAAAACTGCAGGACAGAGTCAGGACTTCTACCTCAGTCTTTTAGCTGCTTCAAGCCACAAGCTGAAGCAATATGTGATCCTGGTTCTAAATCAGGTGCCAGCCTAGAAAGCAGGAAGGTGTGAGTTCTAGTCCTGCCTCAGGCATGAAAGCCAGATGGGTGAATTTGGGCCAGTCACTCTCTCTCAGCCCACCCCCACAGAATTGTGGGGAAAATAGGTGGAAGGAGTATTAGGTATGTACATAATCTTGAGTTACTTATATTAGAAAGTAATAAATAATAAAGGTGGTTATAGTTATCCCATTGAAAAAGATGAAACCATGTCCCTCGACTCTTTCTTCAAGAGTTGCAAGACTTTTTGATTTCTATTACACTTGTTATTGCCCAAACTGACTGGAGTTGATTTTTACTTATTTCCAAGGAGTAAAAAGAAAATTGGCTAGAGTAGGATTAGTATTAAATGTTGGATTAGAATCTAATCATTAGATAAAGCTAATACTAGTGTTGCTCAGAATGTTAATAGTCTAGCAAGCTTGATTCCTATTGCTTATTAGAGCTGAAGTTGGAATGTCTCTTTTTTGATTTTTAAATATATCTTCTCTCTTCTCCCTTTGTCTTATGGTTTTCCATAAAGCCTTTTGTCTTATTTAATTTTTTCAATCCTGTTCGATGCATGTTATCATTTCTATTTTGTTGAAACTTTGAAAAACTGTTTCTAGGCATTGTTGATCATACTGCGCTGAGTGGAATAATTAACTGACTTAGTATGATACAGTATGTTCCTTATTGGGGGAACATACTCAATACTACTCAATATTTCCTTATTGAGTAGTACTGTGCTTGCTTTGCATATTAAAATATGCCAGGTTCTTTTATTAAGGAACTAGGTATTGCTGGCTAAAACCTTGGTTTAAAACATTGGAAGTCATATCAGTCAGCAAAGATGTGTTCGGACGTGTGGAACAATGGTGTAGTGAAAAACACCTTCCTTTGTTCCATCAAGATTATGGAGTGTGTCTGGCTGAATATTTTAAACTTAAGAATATAAACATGCTTTTCATTTTTTAATTCCTTTGTGTCTTTAGGAGACAAGCAGCCTAAAATCACGTTCTTCAATTATTTTTTGGAAATGCAAACTCTGGATGATTATAACATCTGTTTTTCTATTGTTGATCTTTGTGATCATTTTAAGTTTAATTTTGTATTCAGGTTTGTATTCTTTATGAATGTGATATTTTTTTTAGATATATAATTGGGTCAAAAGATTGGGGATGGGAATTGATTAATTAATTAATTAATATTTTATTACGGTTACTGACAGAATTGTAAAGAAACACTTTAATAATAAAGTGGAATTAAAAAGGGAATACACTTTGTAAGGTATTTTCTTTTTTCTAATAGTGACATTTATTATCCAAACATAAAACACAAACTTTCCTTAATTACTTAAAACAACAATAAAAATAAAAACAAAGAGAAAAGAACACATACATAAAATAACACTAGCGCAAAAATTGAAGTGAAAATATTATTTTTTTAAAAGTTTAAAAGGCAAAATAAATTTTAAAGCAAATATATATTGTATGTGTATGCACGTGTATGTGTATATATGAGAAAGCATTCTAATACCACCCTATCTATTTTTATTAACATTAAACTGACCCAATGGTGCCTATTTTATTAATAATGATTTCGTGTTATGGGATATATTACAAAATAATGGGAGAGTTGAGAATGGAACTTGATCTCCAGCAAATAACTTAATAAATACTCAACAGAACACAGTCCAGCCATAAAATGAAGATAACGGAATCCCTGCAGATTTTATTCTGCTAGTCGTTGCCGACCATAGGGGGCAGTGCTCATCTCCGTTTCATGGCCATTGAGACAGTGCTTTCTGAACACATTTCCACTCTCATGTTACCAGCATGATGTCACAGAGCGCTGTTACCTTTCCACCAAAGTGATACTTATTTATCTACTTGCATTTGCATGCTTTCGAACTGCTAGGTGGGCAGAAGCTGGAGCAGGAACAGGAATTCATCCTGTCATGTGGCGCTCAGGGCTTGAAAGTGGACTGCCAGCTTTCCAGCTGACAAGCCCAACATCTTAACCACTGAGCCACTGTACTGCCCCCCCCAGCCATAATACAATACTATATAAATATTTATACATTTATAAATATAAATATATAAAACCACAATGAAAATAAATTTTACAATATAGAAAACCTACAATCATCATCAGTATCTGCTCACAACCACTTCCACCAGTAACCTTTACAAAATACAGAATAGTTCCAAGAATGCGTGGAATCTTAAGTGAGGGGGAGGGAAATAATTCAAATCAAGGAACGAGGTTCGGAAATATATGCAATTGAGAAGGAGTAGCAAGCAAAAAGGAGTGGAAAGAAGCCTCTGTCTTGTTGATTGCATATAAATGGGATCATTCCAAGATAGGAAATGGGAAAGGTAATGGGAAGCAGCTAAGCACACACAAGAACACCCTCCAGTTTATTATGAAATCAAATGAAGATTTTAAAAAGTCCAACCCAACTTTGGGTTAACCTCTTTAATAACAAACCCACTACCATGGACAGTGTTCTTTTTATAGTCAGAATGCAGATAGATGATGCAATATCTATGGCACTGGGAGAAGCTTTAGAAGATCTTTAGAAGATAATAGGCAATTATTACCTATAATAGCTTCTCTTCCAGTTAGTAATTATTTAGATAATGGGCAAGCTGCAACTTTTACTTATTCTCCAAATTCTAATTTTAAAAAAAGTGTTGACTTCTGGTTTGGATAAAATAAAAGACTCTGAGTTCTTATGGTCGTATTTAGGCTATGTGCCTGAATAATAACTAATTTTATCCCCTTTTGTTATTTTAGTGGTTTACATAGATGAAGATGAATATTGGGATTCTGAATTAATTGCAGGTGGTGAACCACACAATTTTTTTGGAAGAGCAAACATTAAATGTTCAAATCCTAATGTGCTACTCTCAAAATCTGCATATGATGTGTTTTCTAAAAATCTTAATAAGAGGGTAAGTTCATTTTAGCTATGTAGAACTGCCTTATGACTGTTGTGAAATATTGGTGGAATGGACTCTTAGACTTATCAGAGATATTATATACAAAATAATTCTTTCATTGAGTATTTTCTTTCACTATTAAAACAGACTATTCTTTTTTTATTGTTAGACAGCTAAAACCTATCTGTAGGCTATAATATAATATATTTGGGTTAGATGTTTGCCCTTTGAGTATTAGACACTTATGATATATAAGGGAAAATAGCTTTTACTTATTAAGAAGCTGAAGCTTTATATATAAAGTGAAAAGTGAATGTTTGCCTTAGGAAAAGAAAATCAGATTTTAGTCTAGTAAATAAAAAAGTGAAATCTAGATTTTCAAATTAATTAAAAGTGTACATAGCTCTAAGTTAATTGCAAACCAAATGAGGGTTCTTTCCATATTGTCTAAGACTGATGATGATTAATGTTTTTTTCTCTCAAGCTTAAGGATGTATACAGTTATTCACCTGCATTGGGGAGATATTTTATCTCATCTGAAGTTATTTCCTTCAGGTACGAAGGGTAACAAAACCCCATATGTTTAATTATGCAATTTTAGGAAAAGAATTTCCTCTTGGTTGTCATGTGTGGGCTGGGAAAATAAAGGAAAGATGGAATGAAAAAGGACTTTCTATGCAGGACTTTCTATGCAATCATTATTTATGCTAATGAGCATTTTATTTCAGCCATAATTTCAGAAGACATAGTAGACTAAAATGATGCAGTCTATCCCCACTTGTATCCTGTTCATGACTATAGTCAATCATAGTATTCTACATGAGTCAGTAAATTGTAAAGAACTCCAGCAGTGTTTAGTGGTTATTGAACTTGTTCAGTCTTTTTTACCTTTTAACTGAACAATATGAACAAGTGAAAAATTTGTCCAATATGAAAGGTTTAAAGAATCCAAACGTCCTGCTAAATTGCTTCTATAAGAAATAAATTAGGCATTTTTTAAAATACTGTTTTTTTTCTTCAGCTTTTCCATCCTACTTGTATAGTGAGAAGGAATTCAGTATGTATTTGATTCACACATGTCATCCAGTAGATACTATTTGAAGCCATGACTGTGAGAAAATGCTTTGGGTTCATGCAGAGCTTTAGCCCTTTGATCCTGAAACAATATGTCAAAGGATCTGGATCTCAAGAGACTTCAAACTTGAAGGCCTAGCCTAATAGACCTCCTTTTGACTATGCTCCAATGAACAAAAATGTTGAGTTTTATTGTGAAAAATAATTGATATTGGAAGCTAACATAAGAATTAAGTTGTTTGAAGTTTCTGAAATCAGTTTGCATATCTTGTAAAAATGAACTGCATCCATTTTCCATAGACATACTGTACATTGATAACTGTAGTACCACCTGTGGGGAATAAGGAAAATGATTTTGACAGACATAAATCAAATCCATTAGTTAAGTGATAGGAAGAAGAACACATTTTAAGTCAAAAACAAGCAGTAAACCAAAGTAAGTGGCTGAGACATCTCCCTAATTTACTTGTGTAAAGAAAGGGAGGGAGCACAACATAATCAGACTTGTGATATTCTATTATAGCCACTGCCAATAAAAATAGCCTTAGCTTCCCTTGATTCTTGGTCTATGTTACCCAGTGATACATGTAGCAACATATTTTTTGAAAAACACTTAAAACATGTGAAATGAAAACCTTACAAACATCATGGCGGAATTGTTTTCTAACTGTGGGGTTCTGGAGGCTCTCTGAGCTTGGTTGTTTTCCTGCAAATGTTTCATTACCAAGCTAGGCCACTTTATCATAATGATGTTACCTCATTTGGTAATGAAACGTTTGCAGGAAAACAACCTAGCTCAGAGATCACCAAGGACCCCACAGTTAGAAAACAATTCCACCATGATATTTGTAAAGTTTTCACTTCACGTGTCTTAAGTGTTTTTCAAAAATATGTTGTTATATGTACCACTAGGTAACATAGACCAAGAATCAAGGGAAGCTAAGGCTATTTTTATTGGCAGTAGCTATAATAATAGAATATCACAAGTCTGATTGTGTTGTGCTCCCTCCCCTTCCTTTACACAGGTAAATTAGGGAGATGTCTCAGCCACTTTTATTTACTGCTTGTTTTTGACTTAAAATATGTTCTTCTTGCTTTGTAAGGCAGTTCAAGCCTGAGCTACAAGTATTCTCTTCCATTTGGCATTTCATTCTCACTTCCTATTATTCCTTCAGTGGAGAAAACAATACAGCATCATACTACTTGCGATTCTTGGTGCCACCTGAGAGTGCTGACTTCATGAAGTATAGAATGAATGAAGAGTTTGTAATGAATATTTTAAGACAAAATATATATGACAAGCAAAGCATCCCTGACTTGGATATACCTGAATGTGCAGATATAATACTTGATCCATCTTCTGTTACAATAAAATGTAAGTGCTGAAGAAAGTGAATAATAACTTCATATACTTTTTTAAGAAAAAAAAATTAAAGGACATTTACTCTGCTAATTTGTGACCTCTGGCCCAATATCCTAGGAACTATAAATTTGCTTCTCTGAGCTTGGTAACAGATTCTAAACAACGAGACAATCAGTTCCCATCCTGCATTCATATTTGTGACTAAACTTTCAAGAAATGCAGATATTTGAGACCCTTAAAAAAAATACGAAGGCAGGGAAGGGAGATGGAGTTTTGGACTCTGAGTGCCAAGATGACCTGTAGTACGGAAAGTCTTAAGTCTGCCTAGACCTGTTCACATCTCTGTTGCAAGGGAAATTTAATCCAGTCTTGATGCTTGATTAATAATACAAGAGGGCAATTTAAAAGAAAGGCATCATTAAAAGCACTGAAATTTTGTCTCCTGTACTTGTCACTTATACTATTATTGTTATTGGTTTGTTTTATCTCACCTACTGGCTGAGAAATACTTCTAAATGAATTTCCAATATATAAAAAAATATTCTAATTTGTCTCTTTAGTGGTTATAATTGCTGATTTAAATTACTAAATAATATTTTATAAACCTAAGAGATAGTTTTTAACTTAGTGTTAAGGATCTATACCTAACATTTATATAACAATTGGTGTGTGTGTGTGGTGTGGATGTAATTTACGTGATATAAACATATTAATAATGAATACTTTTAGAAGTGTTTTCTTTTTCATACTTTTGAAATGCTTATATTTTTTGTTTTATAGTAATATAAACCATCAATACAGGTGGAAGAATTGAATACAGATTTCAAGAGTGACTTTGGAGGACTCCTCTGATCTTCTTATGAATTTTTATATTGCAAAAGCAGAAAAATATGGCTGTATCAAGCAATTGCACACTTACACATTCAAATTTAGAACAACAGTATAGACTCCTTGAACAGCAATCAGAGCATAATATAGTACAAGAAACAGGAGCAACAATTTTATAAGAAGACAAATGTTCCAGATCTCAGATAAGTAAAATTCTATTCAGTATAGAGACTCCTTTTTGGTGAAATAACAAGAAGGACCTTTTCTTCATTTTTTGAACTCAGCTAAATGGAATAAAATTAAGTTATAAAACAACACCCACAATTGTATAGAAATGTTGCTTTTATTATTGCTTATTATTTTTGTTACAATGTTTGTTGGCTTTAATAATTCATAACAAAATTGATTACTAATCACACTAATTCTAATGTGTAAAATACAGTAGGGATGGACAAGTCTGTCAGTTTTATTTTCATTTGTATATATTTTACAGTAATTCTTTTTCAGTAAAAAAAATGGTAATTCCCTAGCAAATATAGATATCACTATCTTTTAGCTATATAATTTTAAATTGTTTGTACCCGACAGATTATTAGGAACAAGATATTTCTTCTTTGGAAGGACCTTTTTTTATCTGCTTCCCTATTATTGTTAAAGATGAAGAGCTTGGTTTGCAATTTTTTAAAATTGAAAACTCCCTAATTCAGCAATATTCCGCATTCCATATATTTGTCAGATTGACACTGCAAGAGTTCTTGTAACTGGCATTGCAGGGTTTATGTCCTCAAAAATAAGATTGGGTGTCCACAGCAATTCTTGCATCTGAAGATGTCAATAAATCCCCTGTGCCAAAGAAAAAAACCAGTGACATGGTTTTCCCCATTGCATGAATATTGTTTGATTTTTTTCTTTCCACACTCTTCCCCATATATATTTTGTATTCAATTTCTCTTACTATTCCCAATGTTGAGTCTCCCCAGCTATTGTTGAAGTGATATAAAGCCTGTCTTCATGATTCTGTTAAATCAGTCCAGAAATCTTTGGATGACACCATTAATTGCTGCTGAGAAACTTGCTATTCGGGCCTTATGTTTGTATCTGGCTTTGTACCTGCTTTGTATATCTGTCTCTGCTTTTACTTTGGTTCTCTCTTACATTTCCTCAGACTGGCATATTCAAAGTAGACTTTGGACCTTTTTTTCAGTAAAGCTACTGTATGGACAAATTCTCTTTCAAAGCAAACATTTACTCAGGGTGGATTCCCATAGGTGGGAATTTCCTTTCAGTGTGAATTCTTCAGAGATGGGGGCTTTCCTTCTATTGCAGCAGGTGAAACAAATGCTAATTCCCCCCTTCCTCACCTCCTGTAAATTTAGTAACACCCTTCCCTGACGCAAGCTGCATGTTCAAAAGCTGCATATTCATTTCAAAGGCACACCTATCGTATGCAACAATCCTAACAGAGAACCTGAAAAGTACCTCCAATCTTCCCTACTCAGGATATTAGGCACTGAGGTTACTATTCATCTGTGACATGGCACAGGCTATCCTGAGAGAAGCTATCCTGCTTCAATGGACAGTTCTCCAATCCCACCATGATCCAAGGGATGGGTGGAGGTTGCTTGTGATGGATTTCACTGAGCCTAAGAATAATGAAAACGTTTCCCAAACTTTCCAGAATAGGAAGACAGGACATTTTTGTGGAAGGCAGCAATTAGCATCTTCTTCAATAACTTTGAGAGTCCGTCTTAATGTAATCCTTGATAAATGAGGATCAAAATATATGTATCTCATTTTCAGGATTCTGTAAGCTAATCCTTTGCTCATTGCAATAAATATACTACTTTGAATCTGTTTCAATCTTGGTTTCCTGGTTGTGAGCTGCTGTAGAGGTAGCTGCTGCCCAATAAAGTATGTGTATAGATGGATCTTTACCCACCACTTGATTCTGCAAGCAAAGAATGTCTCTCTCTCTCTCTCAAATTCTGCCAGGGCTGATAGGGGAAGTGGGTGATTTTGTCAACCATTTGTGTCCCCCCCCCCCAAAAAAAAGTGCTGATAGCAGCTGGAAGAACAACAAAGATCCCACTTCACCAAATACCACACACACACAAGTACAGTATCTATCATAAGAGTCGGGCTGATTTTGAATCTAGGCTTAATGGTCTTTTAAAAGACCTATGTCCTTACTGCTTTTGAATATGGATTTAGAGCAGTGGTTCTCAACCTTGCTAATGCCACGACCCCATAATACAGTTCCCCATGTTGTGGTGACCCCCAACCACTTATACATCACCGGGTGCCAGGGGCCTGGCCAAAGAAAAGGGAGAAAAAATGGTGGACAGCCTTGTTTGGTGACCCCCGTGAAATGGTCGTTCGACCCCAAATGGGGTCCCGACCCACAGGTTGAGAACCACTGATTTAGAGTATCAAGCTGTACATAAAACTTGCTCAACTAACAACTGATTGTTACTCAATGCAGTGGGAGAATTATTTTTCCGTTTCACATGCCAACTGCCATCTCCCCATCATTTCTGCAAACTTTGTTTTAAAAAAGCATTTATTTATTTATTTTAATTGTGAAATTTATTAGCCGTCTGTCTTGCCACATGGTAACTCTGGGTGACTTAATTAACAATAAGTTCAGCATTCTTCTAAAGAAATCCTCCTTCCCCATATAGCTAACTCCAGCACCTACCAACTGTTTTCTAGATGGTTGATGGGTTCTGATAGGTCAGGACTGAAAGAGGTGGCAGAAGAAGTAGGGAAAGACAACTCTTTATCTAACTGATGATCAATCCTATAGAATTCTCATGGGATCTGAGATCTGGTGGGTGCAGTGTCATCTCTCCCAGATTTTCCTACGATTGAGAGCCTGGCAAATAATTATTGATCATATTGAACAATTTATATTAATAACTCACTGTGCAGCGATGTGGTTATATTTTCCATGTGAAGGCTGCTGTTTGGACTGATTCAGGTGGAGGCCTGGCATGGATAGCCTGTTTTGACCAGCACTTTGAGGCAGTATAAATATAACTATAGAACACATGAAATATTGAAGATCCTAGAAACTGCTCTAGCAGTTTGGGAGAGACCATCATTGACTGTACACACATACATATCTCACCACTATTATAACAATGCAAACATAATTACTATACACCATAAAGCTGTGGTGGCAAACCTGTGGCACATATGCCAGACTGGGCACGCAGAGTCCTTTCCATCAGCACACATGTCAGAGGGACGCTCCCCTCCCCCTCTCCACATGTGTCTGACTAGTGAAAACTGGAGGGGCAGGGAAACCAAATCCAGCAGCGCTCTTCTGGGAACAACTGCGAGAGCTGGGCGGGGAGGGGAACCAGTATAAAAGCAGGTTTTGTCGGGAGTGCAGTGAGAGAGTGAGTGAGTGAGCAGACACCTTTGGAAGCGATGGTGGGCATGAGTTTGGAGAAGACAAATAGAAAACGGTGTCCATTTGCGTGCTTTGCAGAAAGCTAGCAGGGAAGGGAGGACATATGAGTTTGGACTTTGGAGAAAGAGAGAGAGGAAGGAAAGGAAGGAAGGGAGAGGGAAGGAAGGAAGCAAGGCTGAGCCCGCCAATGCCACTAGGCAGATGCGTGGTCAGGCCTGCCCAGGTGACACTGAAGCCAGCTAGCCCTTCTGTGGGAGTGCAGGGCAGGGGGGGGAGAGCAGCTACCCCCGAGCACTACGCCTGCCTCCCTTCAGGTTCCCTTGGCCTCTCCCCCCTCCAGGCTGGTCAGATTCCCCCCCCTTGGGCAGTGCTGCACCTGTGGCCAGCCCGTCCCTAGCCAGCTCTTCTCCCTCCTCCCTCCTCGGTGATGTGTGACCCCCAGCGCTGCGATGACAGCTTCTCTGGCCTCGGCCAGTCTGTGATCCCACCTGCCGGGTGGGGAATTGGTGGATCATCCCGCCACGCGGCCCCGTGCTGCCCACGCCAGGGTCCTCTCCTTTTGTGGCCTCCACCCAGCGGCTCCCACCTTTCTTCCCTTCGGGTGCATTGGACCGATTGGAGGAAAACCTCTGCAGCTGCAAAGGGAGAAGATGGGTTGCTGCTGTGCTCATTCTTCGCTCTGGGCATCCCAAGCGCCAGCACGCCACCCGGCCAAGGCTGGGGACAGCGTCGGCATGGTTGCCGCGTCTGAGGGTTGGCCACTTTCTACACCCCCAGTTTCCCTCCCCAACATGTGGGCTGGGTACCCGAGACATCCTCTGGGGCGGCGGTTCAAAGCCTTGAGCTGCTTCGCATGGCCAGGCCGGGGACCAGGGAGCTCCTCTTCAGCTCCCCACATCCCCTGACGTCCGCAGGGCCTCCCAAGTAGAAGGGTCCCGGGCCGAGCAAGTGCCTGGTCCCATAACCGTTGAAATCCAGCTGTGCCCGAGTCTTGTCTTTCTGTTTGTGGGGGCATATCCTCATCAGGCCAGCCAGCCACACAGCAGAGGAGGAGGAGGGGGGCCAGGTGTCTAGTGCTGCCTCGGCTGCTTGCTGTCCTCAGCAGGCTCCAACGAAGCAGCAGAATTCGCAAACCTTGTGGGGCAACATCGCCTGGACAACACATGAGGCTGGGCAGGAGGCGGAGGTGGCAGCCTAATGGACCTGCATGAGGTGCTGGCGGCGGTGGTCTGAGGTGGGGCTAAGGTGCGTCGGGTGTGCAAGGGAAACAGTCCCCATGTGCGGGCCAAGGGCAAGATCTGTGAGGGGGCCAAGGAGATGACCAGCAGTGACTTTCTCTTCAACCGCAAGCAAAAACAGATGGGATGGAGTAGGAGCGTCCGGTGGTCTGCATTACACGCCTTCTCCCCTCTCCTACTCTGCCTGCTGCTGGAGGGCTGGCCCAGTATTTGCAGCAGGCTATGGACCCCCAGTGTGCACTGTTGCTGCTGACAGACACCGTTGGTCCCCATGCGCTCGCTGACCTCTATGTGCGGGGGCCGATGGTGTTAGGCAGCAGCCACCCCAGCCCCTGCCTCACCTTACCTTGCCCCGAGGCAATAGCATCTCCACCCTGCCCCCTGCTTTGCCTCACCCCACACCCCCTCCTGTCCATTGCTCCACCCATCAAAACCCCCCTGGATCTCCCCCAACCCTGCCCCCCCCAAGCATCCCTCCCCATGAGCAACATCAAGGTGGCCACGCCCACCCCAGCCACGGCCACCCAGTCTGCTGTGACCACTGCAGCCATGTCCACCCTATCCATGCCAACCCAATGGGCTACACCCTCCCGGCACCCGGCGATAAATAAGTGGGTTTTGGGTTGCAGTTTGGGCATTTGGTCTCTAAAAGGTATAGTATAGGAGGTACCAAATGTATAGGTATATATAGGGGGTACCTTGCTCAATAGTAGTAACTGTGAGAGCGATCTCAGAGTCCTAGTGGACAATCATTTAAATATGAGCCAGCAATGTGCTGCAACTGCCAAAAAAGCCAACACAGTGCTAGGCTGCATTAACAGAGGGATAGAATCAAGATCACACGAAGTATTAATACCACTTTACAATGCCTTGGTATGGCCACACTTGGAATATTGCATCCAGTTTTGGTCACCACAATGGAAAAAAGATGTTGAGACTCTAGAAAGAGTACAGAGAAGAGCAACAAAGATGATTAGGGGACTGGAGGTTAAAACATATAAGGAAAGGTTGCTGGAATTGGGTATGTCTAGTTTAATGAAGAGAAGGACGAGGGGGGACATGATAGCATTGTTCCAATATCTCGGGGGCTGCTACAGAGAAGAGGGAGTCAAGCTATTTTCCAAAGCGCCTGAAGGCAGGACAAGAAGCAACGGAGGGAAACTAATCAAGGAGAGAAGCAACCTAGAACTAAGAAGAAACTTCCTGACATCATCATCATCATCATCATCATCATTATTGCTGCCATAAAGTATGTTTTGAAAAATGTTATCAGAACGGTTTTTCCAAAGAAAACAACACCAAGCAGATAATATAAAGCAAATCCTAATTTATTAGTACATCATCATAATCATTGCTGTCTTGCTGGACTGCAGGAGTCACTGTTTTGGAAATAATTATGATATCATCATAGTCAGTCATAGTGCTTGATGCATTTATGTTGCTACTGGCACTTTCTGCAAAGTCAATAGTAGTATAATGTAATTCAGAATGGCTGTCTGGTATTTTGTAAACAGTGTCCTCCTGATAAAAAAAGATTAACATTGTTAGTTTTTCATGTTAGAGCTCTAATAATACATATGTTAATTTAATTACTATTCTTAATTTGGTTAATATTAGTTATTCCCTAACTACAGTTCTTCCAATAATTTTCATTAATGTGACTATCTTAATTGTGGCTAGTCAAGTAACTAAATCCCAAATGTTAGTAAGATCTAGACTTGATTACTATTAGTGTAAAATTAAAATCAATCAAAATAAGTGTAAAAGAATTATAATCTATATGTGTACAAATCCTCATAGTCCAGATGCATTAGTTTCATTATGCTTTAAATTTAAAAAACAAGCAATCCTGGGTTAGTACTTGTATAGGCATTTTAATATGTACAACTGTCCTTGAAAGCCACTCCACATCTCTCATTTTTTTAAAAAAACATAAAATATAAGAATTGAAGGTATTGTAGACGCTATATTTCAACTCCTAGTTCAGTTGTTTTCTGAAACAACTCTAATTCTGCTTTGCCTTTACTTTATGGTCTTCAGCAGGTAAAGACAGCTATCGTGTCTCTTACATTGTTCTCTTTTCCAACTGTTCATACATTTTTCATTTTGGTTTCTTCTCATCTTGCTTGTTCTACTCTTGCTCTATTCCAGTGCATGTGCCCTTTTCTTTCAAAAACATTAAAGTCAGAATATTCTACATGTGATCTGACTAAAACAAAATAAAGAAGCCTGGAACTGCATTGACTTTTTTTGCACCTTTATCTAATTTTTGATTCATATTTAATTTGTAACACACTAAGATGATCATACATTTCATGCATGTCCAGGTGCCCACAACCTCACATTTCATGCTAATGTTTTCTTACCAAATTGAAAGATTCTGCATTTGTCTCTGTTGAAATTCATCTTGTTGGTTTCTATTTGAACTTGCCAATCTGAATCTAGATGCTATTCTCCAGTATCTTTGTTATCACCCAGTTGTGTGTCATAAGTTGTACAATTGTTTTATAACAAAAAAGTGATTTTATCTATATTATATCCCTCTAGAGGGATATTGTTGAGCCTTAAAGTATTTTTTTTAAAAAAAGTTAAATCCCATTGGTCCTAGTGAAGTACAGATACTGTTTTATGGATAGTACTGTATAGTTGGTTGCACAGTCAGCCAGATGTTTAAATTGGATTTGGCATTTTTATCTACCTATCAAGTCCTTCAAAGGGACCTGGGAGAAGTATGTTATTGTTTGACGGTATTAGACATGTCATTGCAGGACATTTGCAATATTCCAAAATAGCTGTTCAAGTGGTGCTCCAGATGCTTTAGGATTGCACCCAGAGAGCCGGTTACTATTGGTACTATCTTTGCTTTCTTTTGCCACAGTTGTTCTATTTCTATTTGCAGGTCTTTGTATTTTGTGATTTTTCTCCAGTTCTTTTTCTTCCATTCTGCTATTTCCAGATACTGCAATATACACTATCTAGACTTTTTTGCCTTTCATATTAACAATTGTTAAGTTGGGGTGTTATGTGGCAGGTGCTTGTCTGTTTGAACTCTAAAATCTCTGGGCACTTTAAGTTTTTGATTTTCTATTACTTTGTCTATTTTATGGTCCCACCAGTTTTTCTTTCAAAAACCTGCAAATGGTATTTCTTACAGATCTTCCAATGCACCATTGTTGCTGCTCAGTCATGCCATTGCTTGTAGTCAGCCTGTGTGACTTCTTAGCATGGTAGTTTACATGGGAAATTCTGTTTTATCCCCCCAATCCCAGCTTGTAAAATAGAGTGTACTGGTCAAAAATCACTCCCTGAATTTCCATGACTGGGATAGATTGAACCTGAGTTTTCCAATCCTTAAACATAATAACAGTATCTTCAGATAATTCACTTTATGGATAATAAGCACAGGTGCTGGTATATGCTTCAGCCACATTTCCTTACCAAGCAACCCTAGAACCAAAAGGTTAAATTAAACAAAAGACTACTTACATCTTTTCTCACTGCATGTCTTCTTCTAAAACGAGACCAAGGTTTTTTGCTGCAATATAAATATTAAAGAAACAGCTAAAGGGGGATGATCAGCCACAGTATTAATGATTTCATTGTGTGAATCAACATTATGCTTGAATCTATCAGTTTTCTGAATGCTTTCTTTCTCTATGGATTTTCCTTTTGGTTTTTGTTTGCTTTTGTTTTTTAACTCTATTTTAGATTTCTTTACTATCTCTTATCTTGACTTTTGTTAGTTTTATTGATCATTGCAAGATAGTGGAAATACGGTACCACCGCTTATTTCTCTTTCTGCAATGTTCTGCACATAAAATCAAGACAAAACCAGTACCAGCATTTTACACAATTTATTTGCTCTTTTGTCTTCAGTAACTTTCTTTCTGCTTTGACTTTACTGTGCAATCTGTTCCTATCTTTTCTTCAGTGACTACAGTTTCTGCAATTTTTAAAAGGCGCAAACAGTATCTTGATTGGTTTCTCAAAGTTTTACAGAATGATAAGCATGTTTTGAGTCACAGATGGTCATCATTGCTAGTGATGGAAGGTCCAGAGGAAGAGACTAGTTAATTAGTTAACTTTAACTAGTTGTTAAAGGAACAAACTCTGTTTTTCCATACATTTTAAAACAATACTTGGTAAGTTATATTGCAATCCTATACATATGTAGTAGAATCTCCTTCAAATGGAATTTTCCTGCTGGCTGCATATAAACATTCATAGAATTTTTTTTGATAATGTTGTTGAAGTATCTTATCATTGTCTTGTTTTTTGGACATTTTTCAACTTCCTAGAGTAGCTTATGCTTCTAGTATTCCTTAGTGTCATCAATCCACAGGTCAACCAGAACAAACTCTGGTTTCATTTTCAATCTCAGACAACATCAGGGAATGAATCAAGAATCTCACTTCTCACCTTTGTCCATTTGTTCATCAATCATTTAGTCACTCACACAAATGCAGCATTTGCAACATTGACTAGGTGAAAAGCCTAGTAAGTGGCAGTTAGTTTTGATCACTATTTTCAAAATTATCCAGAAGTTATTCATATCCACATAAGAAACATAAGAGTTATTATGAGTAAGGGTTCTTATTTCCATTTTAGCAAAAATGAAATAAATTTCCAATAAGTAATAAATGAAACAATTTAAATTATATTGCTTAGTGATTAGAAGGAAAATAATATTTTTCTCTTGATAAAGTCTAATCTGTAGAATCTTATTTCCCTTTAGTTTTAGATAGCTAAATTCAACATACTTCAAACCATATAAAATGCATAGTAGGAAGGCATATTTACATCTCCACTTATATAATTAAATAATCACTTTTGAAATCATCACAATAAGAGAACATATGACCTTGGGAAAACTTGTGGCATTGTTTAATTATAGCAATTGTAGGGACTCACACTTACAATGAAAAGGAGGATGAAGCATTGATCTTGAAACAATCTGGACCTTACCTTTTTTTAACTACTTTGTTTCCCATCTCCTCTGTTCTGACAACATTAAATTAACTTTCTCTTTCTATCTTCTTTCTTCTTTGGATCTGTTATTACAATTGTACTGTTGACTGGAAAGACCAAAAGGAAACTCCTGTCAGAAAGTCATAAACATTCTTTCAAATGTCCTCTAGAATCAAAGCATCATCACATTGCAGTGTGGGAACAAAAGTTCCTCTCCCATATCATCTCTGGGGGTGTAGTTACCAAACAAATGACATCATTTCCCAACAGACTGCTATAGATACTTAAATCTTGACTTTCTAGTAACCCTACTTACATACCAGCTATAGTTTGGATTTTTTGCAGGAATCATGAGACAGAAAGATCAGCCAGGGTTTGTTTGGTAATATGAGTAATTTCATATGCTTCATAACAGAAACAAATCCAGAGTCCATTACTAAGGTTTTTGCATAGCATGTGACAAACCATAGATCCATACATATTCCAACAAAACCAAAAATTGTGAAGAAATTGAAAAGCAACTATTCTTCAGGAGATACTTGTAAATGCAATGAACTAAATTGTTTTGGTCCAATGAACTTGTATTCATATAGCAGCAACACAAACCTTTATCATTTCAGGTAGTGGTTAGCAAGGCAACCACATTTTTCTTTTTATAGAGTTTCTTGTCAACTGACAGCATGTGGTTTTAAAGGAAAATTGGCTTCATACTTAGAAGTAAGCTAAACTCATCTATCTACAGCATATTGCTAAGTAAACTATCTTTTTGAAAGAAATGGAATAGTGAGGCCAATGACTCTTCTGTAACATGGGATCTAAGTGTTTTGTTTCCATTTATATTAAACACTGGGAAATTCAGAATGAACTGAGTGACCAAGAACATATGATTGAGTTGGAACTACCCTACAGTGGTACATTACAGGCTACCCTAAATTGTAGAAAATTCAAATTGGATCCTGCTTCTGAGTAAGTGAGTATAGGATTGAGTTAAGCACGTATATTTGAAAAATCAATTTTCATAGAATTCCCCTTGATGTGATTTTATATGGACTTCCCCAAAATAAAAAAAACAGCTTTCAGTTCTCTTTAATTGCTCTGTAATAAGTTAAAATTCTGAATGTAACTTATCAGTGTCTTAACATCCCACAGAGTTGAAATGATCTCTGTATTCCTTGTTATCTGTGTCTTCTGGACTCAATACTCTGTAGGTGAGTTTTGGACAAGCTTTTCAGATTGCTATAGTCAACCTGGTGCCCTCCAGATATTTTGAACTACAACTTCCACAGTTCCTTGCATCTGGTCCAACAGACTGAACCTAATGATAGCTGTAATTCAAAATAACAAGAGGAGAGCAAGTTGTTTGCTTGTTGATTATCTTTATTGCATATTAGTATTATGGACAAAGCCATGTGATTAAAAGACTTTGAGCGGTACTTCTCTGAGATATGATAATCTCAACAGTAAATTTCAATGTTTTTCTTGTATGATGCCAATGATAGCAGAACAGATTGAATGATATGCCAGATTCAGATAAGGTGAAGAAAAAAATATTGATAGCAGGGTAATATCAGATTGTGGTATGTTACTGGGGCTTGCTGGATTATATGATAAACTAATGCATGACTTTCTCATAAAATATGTCTGTAGCAAGTTAGAATGCAAAAGCTGTTCCTCCAGGACACAGCCTATCTATTCTGGTTTCTCTCATTGCTACTGCTAATAGGCTAAAAGTTATTTCATGTATTTATTTATTACTATTTGTAACTGCACTTAGAGGAGGGCTTAATTAAATAATTCTAAGGTCTGGGTAAGTACAATATTCAGAATATTGCTGATGTGGGTGATATAAACTTAACTTATTTTGCCATTAAGAATTCATTTTTAAAAAGACCTTCAGAATTTAGTACCTTAGCCTTTCTTTTCAGGTGACACAGAAGTGATTCACAAGCCTTTCCAAGCTATCACAACGGGAAAAAATGTGACTCTGTTCTGTCAGTTGGCCAAAAATCATGATATTGTTCAAGTCACCTGGCAAAAAAACCAAACCAACATAGCAACTTACAGCAAGGCTTCTGGTGCTACAGTGCTGAGTAACCAGAGCAATATCCATCTTTCCCCGAGTAATTTGACTTTTTCTGCCATCACTTTCAATGGGGTGACATTCAAGGATGAAGGCTGTTACAGCTGCATCTTCAATACATTTCCCTTAGGACCTATTTCAGGCAAGACATGTCTCAAAGTCTATGGTAAGTTATATTGTTTTATTGTCTGGATCTTCAACAATTGCAGATCATTTCACACTTAGCAGCATTACATATAGTAGCTCTAGAACATTTAAAGGGTGCAAGAAATAGTTTCTCTGAACAAGAGAAAAGTTTCTCTGAACTAGGGTAAATTGATTGCCTCTGTTCCATGACTTAAGGAAAATCACATTAACTATGGTAATATCAGAAGTTATTTAAGTTGGTGCTGAATTCCCAGCCAAGACACAAACCTGCACAATTTTATTACAGAAAAAAAAATATTTTGCAAAGATTGGTGAACTGATTAATGAAGTATCATGCATTGTATAATTCCAGTATCTGGTTTCCTAAAGGCATTAATATCTATGAGCTTCTTAAGGTGATTTAGTAATTTCTAAATGTTTTGGATGCAGTTCCCCAATGGTTTTAAGCTCTCTTGCCCCATCTTATTCCATCCTTTCCTTTTTTTTTTTTTTTAAATTCAGTCACGATTACCTTGTAAGAAATTTGGTTCCTTTCTCTCTCTCTTTTATCTTTCAGTATGTTATCTTGCATTCTTATCACCTGTGTGGAAAAAAAGCCTGCAGATTCACAGCTTGATTTTTAAGTCTCATCTAACATCTTTCCTGCCCTATATCTATTGTCTTCTGTTTCTCTGACCTGTGCTCAGGTGTTTGCTAGTAAAGAAAAAGAATTGTACGAAGGTTATTGTCTAAGAACTTGTTGCTTGTTCATCCTCTGTGCCAAATTAGATCATATTGAGAGATCACTATCATTCATGGTTGTTTTGCCTTTGGGTTCTTTTGATCAACACATTCCATCTTTGCAGTGATTATCTACACTGCTTGGTTGCCCTGTTGCCAGAATGGGCAGGCAACCATTGCTGAATAGCAGAAATGGGTGATGCCACCTTCTATAGTATTAATCAATATAAAAGTAACATAGGAGGTGTTTTTCTGCTCCTTTTCCAAAGTTCACCTTCCATATGTTGCCAGCTTGGATGTTTCTGTCCATTTTGGATAGTGTGTTTTATTTTACTAGAAGATAACACCCTGGAGGTTATTGGTTATTTCACAAAGACAGGAACACTCCTTCAATCTAATTCATGTTTACTATAGGCAATAATACCTTTTAGAGCAGGGGTGTCAAACTGCCGGCCCGCGGGTTGGACGCATCACGTGGAAACTGTGCACACCCCATTGCCAGCAATGGCAAAACTGTCCCGATACGTTGCACGACGTCACGTGACATCGTGAGTTTGACATGTCTGTTTTAGAGCTACTGAGACTAGGTATGCTTGATGACTCATTAATAGAAATCCAGGTGAGGATTAGAATTAGAAATCTGAATTTATTTGTATAATAGGCTATGTATTTCTAAAATAGGATTGAGTAATTTTTAGTTCAGCTATTTTTCCTAGGTGTTTGTGAGTGGGCCACCACATGATACTATAATATTAAAATAGAGGGCTTGGGAGGGGGCTTATACCAAATTATATAAACACTGTAACTGTGCTTTGCAATACATATTTATTTGTGTTGTGTAAATTAGTCATTAAAAGTTAAGATTATAGGCCAGATTTAAGGAAGAGATTTGTGATAGCATTTTAATCATCATTCCTTCTCTGAAGCAATAACAATTAATTTAACAATTGTTTAACATATTCATAAATATCTGTGATACCTGTCTTTAGATAATTTGTAGTGTTAGTAATGAAAATAAGGCAATCATTTCACAATAGAAGAACAGATGATTTGCGTTTACATGTTAGGGTACATGTAGGCTATGGTGATATACCAAAAAATATCCTGAAAGAATAACAAGCACTTCTATACAGTTACCAGAGAAATGATATGAACACATGCATATAACTTCTAGGAGATGCGCTGGGATCCAGAGAAAATCTTTCCCTTTATTGCTCTCTCCTCTACTGTGACTTAATAAATGAGTAATTTAGTTACTACTAAGTACCATGTACAACCTAGCTCTTCAGAAGCAAGAACTCCCAAAGCATAGCTATAAATATTAATTGAACAATTTGTTTTAAAGCTCTAACAGAACCTGAAATAAATGTAAGGCAAGTGACTAATCCAGATAATATGGAAGAAATAAGAGAAATAAACTGCTCAGTAACAGGAAGACCAGCTCCAGTAATTACTTGGAAGATGAAGAAATCTCTTCAGATAAAGCCAAAATTATATATGATCCCGCACTCAAATAAGACAGTAACTGTTATCAGCACATTTACTCAAGTTTTATCCAAGACAGTCTCAGAAAATTCAGTAATCTGTGTTATTCAACATCCATCTTTAAACACTTCACAAGAATTGACATTACATGAAACTGTAATCAAAAAAGGTGGGTTTAAAGTCAAAATTCAATTCAATTCCTTTCCTTTTTCTTTTCCTTTCCTTCCCTTCTCTTCCCTTCCCCCCCAGTTTCTTCTCTCCCTCTCTTCTCTTAGCTTGTCTTAGAAGTTACCTATTAGTTTTCTTTGCAAACAGTTTCTTCATGTTATTTTATGGAGCATATACAATAAGTGAGCCCAAAGGAGACAAGTCATTTCCTTGATCAAATCTATAATTCTCTAAAGGTGTCTTTTTTTAACTAGACTTGCTAGTTTTACAAGAAACCTTAGAACAAATCTACTTTCCCAACCTGTTTCCATTCTGGATGTATTAGAGTTTATAACTTGCAGAATTTCTAATTGGCATCTCTAAAAGCAAGCCATTTCCCCGACTTAGAGAAGTAGATAAAGAATATTTATTGTAAAGAATGCATTTAAAAATTGTATTTCTGTAGAAGTGTATTAGGAAAAAAGCTCATTATAGGTTTTATAGACATTTTCAACACTTAGTCATTATCATTACTGCTCCAATATTGAGCTGTCATCTCTATTAGAAATGTTATATCATGGTTATGTTATTGATAACATATGTCCCTAGGATTTTTTTATAAAGCCAGATTTTAATGCAGTTCCCTATGCACCTATTCCTTCTTTTATTATTTCGTCAGCCAATTTTTATTATTTATTTATTTCTCTTTACAGCTCAAAACAAACCTCAAATAATTGTTATTGCAGCTATCTGTATACTGGTTTCCCTATTTCTCCTGGGGCTATTTATCTTTTTCATATACCGGCATAGGAGACGAGCACTAGTAGAAAAAGAGCAAGATCTTCCATGCTGGGTAAGTCTCAAATATATCCTGTAATATCTATGGAACAATGAAATGCCCCAGCATAGTTAGGTTACTTACATTATAGATGATAATTAGAGCTAATTTCGACTTCAGCCCTCTAGATATTTGAACAACAGATTTTGCTGACCAAAATGAGCAACAAAGTCAGGGGATACAGCTGAATATATCTACACATATACATAGGATCTTCATTGGTGAAGGATGGATAGCCAAGGGACAGAGAAGCAAAAATAGAAGCAAATAAGATGTGATCTAGACCAGGGCTTTTCAACTGGTCGTACACGTACCACTTGTACTTTGTCACGTGGCAGGTGGTATGCAACAGCTAGCCAAGTGTAGCAGGGGAGGCAAATGAGCCTAAGCAGCCTAAGGGAGAGGTAGCTGCAGCTGCATGACTGTCTGGGCTCGGCAGAAGCCCCAGAAGGCAGCAGGACTCCAGCTGATTGGCTCCAGCTGATTGGCGCTTCTGGAAGCAGCACAGAGCTGGAAGTGAACTGAAGAAAAGGGGAGGGAGGAAAGGAGAGGCTATAAAAGGTGGTGGTTTGGGTGGGGGAAGGGGAAAAAAGACAACAGGAAAGGTTTAATCCCTTTAAACAAATGAAATTAGTTTTACCCCCTTTAATTGAGTCTGTCTATGGCTTTTAGAAAGTTTTCTTTGAAGATAAAGAGGTTTAATTTAAGACTAAAGCTTTTGGCAATTGCCAGAGCCTTTCAGTCTAGGTTTGCAACATTGTGACACGTCACATGCCTGAGGCAGTTTAAAGAGGAAAAAAAACTGGAGGCTTATTTTGTGAGCCTTTCTTGCTTTGCACTTGATTCCTGTGTCTTTAAGAGTACAGGGAAGGAATTGGGGGGTGGGGGAAGGAGAGCTCAGAAGGGAGAGAGGAAGAAGGGCTGACCAGCTAACTCAGGAGTCTACAAACTTAGCAACTTTAAGACTCTGTGGACTTCAACTCCCAGAATTCCTCAATCAGCCATGAGGGCTGAGAAATTCTGGAGTTGAAATCCACAAGTCTTAAAAGTGCCAAGTTTGAAGACCACTGAACTAGCTGGTAGTGGTGCATATTAATAAACATGGATCATCATACATTTGTCAGTGCAAAGGGAAAGTGATTCAGCAAAGGAACAGCCATAAAAGAAATTAAAACTGGTAGTTTTTTTCTTTTTTTCTACAGTTTGTAATATTTTATTAGATTATAGAATAAAATACAAAAATACAAATGCAAATCGTAGGACACAGTGGGGAGGAAAAAGGGGGAAAAGGGAGGGGGAGAAGGGAAGAAGAACAGACTTCCTCTGTTGCAGTAGAAGGAAGCATTAACATTGAACCTCATCTTTTTAGTTTTCTATAATATTATAAACTAGCCATTTCTATAACAACAAATGAATCTAATCAGTAAAACCCAAAATCCCCCCCCCTTTTTTTTAGTCATCAAGTTTTTGACACCTTGCTAAGCACTGGTGGTACTCAAATATTGTCATGTCCTAAAAGAGGTACAATCTGTGAAAAGGTTGTAAAGCCCTGATCTAGACTTTCAATACCGCTTTTTAGTAGGACTGAGAAAGGCAGGATCATTTTTATACAAATAGTTGATGGGTACACCGCGTAATATGATGGGATTGCTGGGGGTAGAATTAACGTTTCTACCCATCCAAGGAGTAAGAAAAGTGATCTATATTTCCATGCTAGTTTTACCAGCAGAAAAATTGAATCTGTGAGTGAAGTGATTCCGATCAATAATGGCGCCAAGCAATATTAGCAGAGCACTTCAAGTTCTGAAACCAATGAGTCACTTTTTTCTTAGCTGAAATTTCTGTTCTGAACGGATTACAATTTTACACTCTAGAATTTCTCCTTAATTTCAGCCTTAAAGTATGTTATTTCTTTGCCAGGTTGTTCCACTTTGTTCTGGAAGAACATTATGTAGAAAAAAAGGCTACACAAAGAAAAGAGCCCCTGTGAAATCTCTCACTGAAGTAAAGTTTCTGGACACATGAAATCTTTCTATATAAAATGTGATAAAAATCATGTGATGGAAAGGCATCAGCACATAGTTCTGAGGCCTTGCTTGGGCACACAGAGGAATAGGCAGCCAGAGGGCTACTTAGCACCTAAAGGCCCTCCCCTTGCCTTTTAATTAATTTTTAGCATTCCTTGTCTCTTTTAAATTTTATATATAATTTTATGCTTTTAATATTATATTTATATACTGCCTAGACTCCTTCTGTGAGAGAGATGGGTGATTCCTAAATATGCTAAATAAATAAAAATAATTATAGTTTCCCTATGAATACTCCTTATTCTGGATTTTTTTTTCAGACTTGGCATTGCCTATGTGTTTACAATTAATGTTTACGTGCCGTATTCTATGTAAGGTGTACTGAGCACCAGAAATTAAGCTAAATAATGTAGTAATATTCAATAAAATATTTATTTGCAAATGAGACTGTACTGTTTTATTTACTACATATTATATTCATTGCAGCAATCAATATTTGGGAATAATAATTTCTAAATAATTTCATTTATGACAATTGAAATGATTCTTATAGTAAAAATAAGACAGGACAGTAATATACCTTTGCTAAAGATACAAGCATTCAGGTTCTTGTACAGCGTTGTAAAGACGTCAATCACAGTGTTTACATGTACTTTATTGATTTCGAAAAAGCTTTTGATAAAAAGTAAACTATTAGAAATCCTGAAACAAGGGGGAGTAGATGACAAAGACATCCAAATAATAAAGAATCTGTATTGGCATCAGGTAGCAAATGTGAGACTAGGCCAAAAATACTCAGCTGATGCAGAAATAAGAAGAGGGGTCAGGCAGGGATATATTCTGCCCCCACTGTTGTTCAATATCTACTCTGAGTCAATCTTCAACGAGGCACTGGAGAACAGGGTCAGGGCCTGACTCTTTGCATCATTGCCTATCTTCAACTATGTCTATAGTACCTGACAAGATATGACAGGATTAACATGTTTTGGATCTGTCTATTAAGTTATGTTATATCACTGGACCCAGGAAAAACATCTTTTCTTTTGTCCCATTTGCTCTCTCCTCAAGCTCCATATAGCCCTCACCCTATGTCATGCAAGACAGCCTTAAATGCTTCACTCCTTCCACAGGTACTAGGCTTAGATATTGTGTTAATTTATCATTAGATCAGAGAGATTTGTCTGAGTCATTTCTTCATGCAGGACTTCTAAATCAAATCATTATGGTGATTTTAATGCTTGGAAGCTATCCAGAGTGATATCAATGTGGTAGTTATAGAAACTGAATGAGTGAATGTTATCCATTGTCTATCATATGTAGTTTGTGAGACAGTTAAATAAAACCAATAAATCAGTAGTTATTTTTTTACTATTATTACCATTTCTGTTATTGGAGGGATTTTATCACTGTTTTTAACTTTATTATAAACTATTGAAAGACCTTATGTATTGGCAGTATAGTAAATGTTATGGTATTAATAAATAAAATAATATATATATATATATATATATAAATATTAAAAAACATACAGTTTAGATGTGTATATGACATAGCTGAAAATAAATAAAAAATGTCAATATTTAAAATTCCACTGCAGCTCCTTTTACTTGTGCCAATCCCTTTTTTATGTCAACACAGTGATGATGTCTTATGCTCATTGTACCTTTTGGAAAAACAATTTGATTCTCATAAAACAAAGAAAACCTGTTTGTATGAAGAAAGCCTGAGAGTTTTCACTTGAGGTACAAATGATCTGGTTCAAAGTTTCCTATGTTTCAAAGTAACCTACATTATGGATATTGCATTCTGGAAAAGGCTCTAATGCTAGGAAATGTGGAAGGAGAGAGAAGAAAACAGGACCAACAGCAAAGTAAGTGAATTCAGATAGAGTGGTGATGAGCACAAAGACCTGAAAGAACAGGTTAGGGACAGTGGTTATTAGGAGTCTAAAATGACTTAACAACACATAATTAAAAAGAAAAAAGAAAATTCTAAGTTTCTGCATGATTCTAAGGCTGGTTCCCACAAAATACTAAATTATAAGCACAGATCAATAGAATAGATCTGCTGCACTCACATAATGTGTGATGGAATGTGTGGATGACCTCAGGGAACAAGGGGAGGAGATGCTGCCTAGGAAACAATCAGATAAAAGAGACAGGAGCCCCTAGTGGCTTAACGGACAAAGAAAGGAAGTTAGGAAGGACCTGCCCTAATTGATCAAGCGGTTAAAATTGGGGGCAGGAAATTTGTACTATCAAGATTGATGTCAGCTCTCCCAGATAAACCAGATGGGAAACATGACGAGATGAACTAATTCTACTTTGTTGTAAGGCTATATTAGCAGAATCTTTCATTCCTCGATTAGCGTTTGCTTTGTTTATCAACCATTCACAGTTATAACAGTGATGAAGCTGTAAATTTACCACCAATCTTCACATTTATGACTTCCAAAGGTCATGCTCCAATCACATGCAGTGGACAACCAGCAACAACTTGCAGCAACTATCAGCAATGTCTCCAGGTCCTTGTCTCTTCCTCTCCCTCTTCTCCCCCTCCTGAGTTGAATGGAAGTCCCTGTCCTGTGGAATAGCATTCTTCTAAAATCCATGCAGATTCAATTCTGCTATAAATACTTTAAAAATAATAATACAGTTTGGATGCGTATATGACATAGCTGAAAACAAATAGAAAACATCAATATTTAAAATTCTAGGAAAGCCTGCCTTGGGGCACAGTGTCTTGTAACTTCCCTTGGGGCGCCTTCCATGGTACTGTCAGTTCCCCAAGTAAGAATTTTTTATTCTGTTTTAGCCATTTCTTATCATGTATGTTGCCTAGGTGGCTTTGGCAGTGGATGCACCTGAGAAATAGATTAAATACAGATGGTCCTCAACATATGATCACAACTGAGCCCCAAATTTCTGTTGCTCAGTGAAACATTTCTTAAGTGAGTTTTGCCCTATTTTACAAAATGTCTTGCCACAGTTGTTAAGTGAATCATTGCAGATGAAAAGTCAGTAAAAGGGCTGTTAAGTGAATCTGGCTTCCCCATTGCCTTTGCTTGTCAGAAGGTCGAAAAAGGTGATCCCATGATCCCAGCTCATTCCAACCGTCATAAATATGAGTCAATTGCCAAGTGTCTGAATTTTCATCACATGACCATAGGATGCTGCAATGGTTGTAAGTGTGAAAAACGGTCATAAGTTATTTTTTTCAGTGTCATTGTAACTTTGGATGACCACTAAATGAACTGTTCTGAGTTAAAGACTACCTGTAAAGTAATAAATGGATACATTAAAAAATCTCCCATCAAACATTTCTTCTTTCTGTAACACTTGCCCACTTGAGTTCTAAAAGTCCTCCTTAAAAAAAAAAATCCAACCTGAGCTTACATGAAAGAGAAATGCAGATGATTTTACTAATAGCATATTTGGAGCAATACCAAACCTTTATGATCCTTTCCAGTGTTCCCCCCCCCCCAGGCTTTCATTTAAAAACAACAGGAAGGTTAAGGTATAACTGCAGGATTCACTAAGGAAACCCTCTCCGATTGCACTCAGAGATATAAAAAAATGGAACCAACACAAACTGGTACTTCTTACCGCCTGCTCCATCTCTGCTAAAAACATTGTGGTCAACACTTGCAACAACAGTTTTAAGATACCAAAATACGAGCAGGGTTGCACTACCCTATTTCTTTCTGCTAGGTATTATTTATCAGAATGTTCAAGACTATTTGCCTGCTACAGTGAGTTCACTAACAATTCCTGGAGCTGCAGGACAAAATTTATTTTAGCACTGCAGCTATATCTGGAATATTGCCCATCAGCCCATAGTTTTTAAAATCAGACAGTTGTGACTTCTTAAATCAAGGCTTTAGCATATTTTTTTAGTATTGGGCATTCCATCTAGGGCGGGGTTGTCAAACTGGCGGCCCATGGGCCGGATGCAGCATGCACAGGCCACACCTACCCTGGCTCCGCAAAGGCAAAAAACATCACGATACATCATAATACATCACGTGACACGATTGAGTTTGACACCTATGACCTAAGGAATTAGATGGGAATTCCAACCCAGTACAGAGAAGTATTAATACATGCCTAGTTCAGATCTTTCATTATGGATTAAAGCAGCAAAGTAGAGTAGTCTGTGATTTACGTCTACAATTGAGACTAACATTTCTGATACTAAGCGAGAAAGTTGTTAAGTCAGTTTTGCTCTATTCTATGACCTTTCTTGCCACAGTTGTTAAGTAATCACTGCAGTTATTAAGTTAGTAACATGGTTGTTAAGTGAATCTGGCTTCCCCATTGACTTTGCTTGTCAGAAGGTCAACCCTCAGGACACTTCAACCATCATAAATGTGAGTTAGTTGCTAAATGTCTGAATTTTAATCATGTGGCCAATGTGATGCTGCAATGGTCATAAGTGTGAAATATAGTCATAATTCAATTTTTCAGTGGTGTTGTAACTTTGAACGGTCACTAAATGAATTGTTGTAAATTGAGAACTACCTATAATCTCAGAAATTATTGATAAATTACAATCTTTGATGCCCTCATAAGTAAACTAACTAAACAGTAGACAAACCCTAATACCTTACCTTGTAGGGAGATGACTTTATATGTAAAGCAAATTGCTCAGGCAGTTTGTTATTTATTTCTTGCCTTTATTATTTTTATAAATAAGCCAAGGTAGCAAACATACTTAATACCCCTTGTGCCTCCTATTTTCCCTACAATAACTCTGTGAGGTGGGTTGGGTTGAGAGTGAGTGACTAGCCCAGTCACCCAGCAGTTTTTCATGCAAAGGGGAACTAGAACTCACAGTCTCCCAGTTTCCACTGGGAGGTACAGTAACCACTAGACCAAACCGCTTTGAGGACATAACAGATCAATGCATTTTAATTTGCTACAATGCAATCTCAAACACACACACAAACACAATCTGCGAAGTAAATGATCTTTTAAGGACATAACTTTGCATCTTTGTTTTTAACCAAAGGTGCTTTTTCAAAAGGCAACTGGACTTTGTTTTCCTTGAAGATATTTCGTTTCTTATTCGAGAAGTTTCTTCAGTTCTGAAGTTTTCTTTGTTTTAGTATTACAGCCTTTTTTTTCCAGTCAGGGAAAGGTGTTTATGAAAACAGCTGGCTACCTGTTCTTAATGTTGGGACACAAGTGTTTGAAGTTAGTGTCAGATCTTAATTATGTGTTGTTGCTAATATTACCTCAAGTAATCAGAATATCTGCATGTCATTGGTCTTTATTAACTTTATTAACAAGTGCAGTAACTCTTTTTTAATGGTAAGATTGTATGCTGCCATCTAGTGTTGAGATCACTCTGTCTGCATCATTTTTCATAACATACAGTACTTGAAGTTTGATAGAAATGGGAGGGAATATTCTTATCAGACTCTCTTGTTTTTCCCCCATTACATACCAACATGTTAACAGTTCAAGAGAGATAATATATAGACAGATGCGTGTTAGAGACACCAGTGTGTATATGTGGAAAAAGAGAGAGAACACAAGAGAAACAGGCTCACTTCTTATCCTTAAAAATACGTGCAAATATAATTGATAAAACTTCAAAATGTTATAACATCCTGAATGTGTCTGCTGGCTAAAATAAACTAATATTCTGAAATGGTTGTAAAATTTTTAAAAGCAATTTTTTCAAGTTTTAGCCACTAAGATATAAGGAAGTTTGGGCTATTTTGGAAAATACATTTTTTCTAAAGTTCAGAGTAATCCATTAAAGCAGGGTGGACAACTAATAGCATTGAGTCATGTTAGGTCTCCAAGTCCTATTTTTCAGATCCAGAATCCAGTAAAATCATACTACTAAATGTGGTGGTGTCAGATTAATTTAAAATCACATCTTTTCAATGTCTTTATTAGTTTTCAAAAGCTCATTTGTCAGACTTTCTTGAGATTGCTATAATAATGTCTGAAAACAACACAGATGAACTTGTAATAAATAAATCATAAATAACTACAGTAAGTCCCACTAAATTTCTCAAGATTTAATTAAGATTTCACCTACTGGACCAGATTACTGTTCTGCTGCTTCATCTAATGCAGGGGTGTCAAACTGCTGGCCCACGGGCCGGACGTGTCACGTGGAAGCTGCGCCCACCCTATTGCGACAATGGCAAAACTGGCCCGATACGTTGCGCGACGTCATGTGACGTTGCGAGTTTGACATGCCTGATATAATGAAACCTGGATACCTGGAAATGGTGCCTGGAAGCAATTTTACTTGAATCATTTATTGTTTGACTTCATTCAGTAAAGTGTTCCAAATATTTTACATCATAACTATGTATAGTGAAAATAATTCTGGTTTAATTTGTGTACCTGTTGCAATTTTTGCCAGTTTCTTTTACAATCATATCAGAAATTTAGAAATAGATGACCTTTAAACCTTTGCAAACCACTTCAAAGTAATTTGCTCCTGGGTTTCTCATTATTAAATGGCAGAGTTGAAAACAATGATCTGTACGTAACTGTTCTTTTCAAAATCCTGTTTGTTCCACTTCATCAGCTTCCTGAAAAGGCTTCATATTTTCAGCAAGAATTTTCAAATAATCACTGGTCTATGTACTAAGCACATCCTCGGTATCCTACTGTACTGTTTGGCATTTCTTGATTAGTTTACCCAACAAATTACCACTTAACATTTTGATGAAAGCAGAAATCACACCAGATCTTTCTGTATTTTAAATGATTTGCAGTTCACAACATGGGTCAACAAGGATTATTTAGGACAAAATTATTTGGTTTATTTAGATAATTAGTTTCTTTTGGGGATTATCGGCTGAGAACATCTATCCAACCAGTTTTAGTAACAAGTTATTTTCCAGATGTCCTGAGTAAAATAATAATGATTTGAGATACACCCCCCCCCATAAGGATTTGAAGGGTAGGAGGAGCATTCTGACCTTTTTTAAAAATCACAGTTCACTATTTAGCTGGACAGAGCAGCTTTACTTGGGTGCCTTCTCCTTTTCCCTGCTAGAGGAGCCTGCAACTGAAGGTGAATGTGTGCAGCATCGGGGAAGTAATATTGGTCAATTGGTTGTGCAGAAAGAAACTAGAGATACGAGCTGTCTAAAGATGGATTTGTGCATTGGAATGAATGTGTGCATTAGAAATTCTCTCTCAAGAGTAAACACAGTTAATATCTTTTATTATATGTGTTTTAAGCAAATAGACTAGAGCTATTGCTCTGTTATGATGTTCGTGAACAGCTGATTTTATATTTATTGATTATAACAATAGAGAATCCTATAGCCCTTGCAGAATATAGATCCCTGCTCCAAGAAACTTCTAATTTCAAATGTAGTTCATAGGAAAAAGTAAAACTAAACTCCTGGATCTAGAAGATTGTAATAACTATTGCTAAATGACAAATGCTCCTTCCTGATCAAAATGACTGAAAGAATCATGGCATTCTAACTATATGTATTCTTGGAAGATATTGATTATTTAGATTCACTGCAGATTGGATTCTGGTCTGCTTATATGAAATATTGTCTTTAGTTAATCTACTGGATTTAAAACATATAGACAACTTTGTTTCTATTACTCGATCTTTCACCAGCTTTTGATTCCATTAATCACAGTATCTTCTTGTGTTACCCTGTGAACTGAGAGTTAGAAGTAGTCTCACATTGAGCCATAATCACAGTACTGATATTTATCTTTGTAGCTCTAGTCTAAACCATTCAGGATTACCTCAAACTGTGTCTCCAATGACATCAGCCACGGAGGCATTTACTATCCTGGGGAAGAGTCCCACTTAGTGGGGGACCTGGAGATGGGCCTTCTGCTTTGAGATGACGTTCCTGATACAGTGTACAACCCTCAATTTTGTTCTCTCTCTCTTTCTCTCTTTTTACAAAATAATCCTATTTTACTGTTTTTTTCTGTAGTCATTAATTCTCCTGATACTACTCTTGGAATGGATAGACTGCATCCTGCTTTTATTGTGTTCACCATTTTCTACCTCTTCTTATTGTATTTTAGAACTGCTCTACAGGTTTTAAACCACTTTGGGACTTTCTAGAATGGTGTAAATTATTTCTAATAAAGGGATATGAATAATAAATTTACTTTTATGATTTCTTCTTTTTTTCCTTATTACTTTTGTCTGTCTCTTGTGGGCACCGGACTTCTTTAAGGCAATTCACTTCATTGTTGCACTGACGTATTTCCATTGACCTTAAAAGCAGGAAAAAAAACCCCTTTCTGTTTTTCTTTTGATAAATATTTTTCTTCCACTATTTCTTATTATTCCACTCCCAGTTGCTTCCATCTGTATCCTGTCATTTTTTTCCATATGACACTTTTTCTTCCCATGTCAAGTTGTTATAACAATTCTTATTTAACTAAGCCCATTCTTCAAGAATTTTCAGACGCTGAATCAAAGGCATATGCTATTTTAGTGGAATTACGTTATAATCAGAAACTATCAGTTGTAAGAACTCAAGTCTTATTTGGCAATTGCTGAACATTTCTTCTCAGTTTTTTAAAAACAATTTTTCTTCAAACTCTTGGGGAAAATGATTTTTCAAGGAATTTTTTTTTAATTGATAGTTTTTTAAATTTTACAAGACAAATCCCCTCCCCAAACCCACCCTCCCATACCCTCCCCCAGCTCCCCAAACCTCCCTAACCCTCCCCTAGCCCTCCCAGAGTTGATTACAGGCTTGTCCAAAATGTTTTTAAAAAAAAGAAAATAAAAACTTAAAACACATATAAGTCCTAAACAAATCTAAATACCTTAAATTAAATAGATTATCTTCTCTAAAAAAAATAGTAATTGGAATCATTAAACACATTATAATATACTCTAAACATCTTCTAATCATACTTATAATATTATCCATCATTCTATATAAACTCCTTCCAGAACACAATTTTAAACACTACTTTCTTTGAACATCTATACCTACAATATAAAATCTAATATGAATCATAAACAAATCTGAATACATTTAGTTAAGCAAGTTATACTCCCTCCAAAACACAAATTTAAACATTACTTAAAACTTAAAACATTAGAATAAACAAGTTATACTCCCTCCAAAACACAAATTTAAACATTACTTAAAACTTAAAACATTAGAATCCCCTTATACGCATTTAATCAAATTCCATCTTAAAAATAGTAATAATAATAATTAAAAAAAACCCAAACACTAAACACATTGTAGTATACTCCAAACCTTTTGATATCATACTGATATTATTTTAATATCATACTGATATTATTTTAAAAGGAATTTTTGAAATGATGAAATACTAATAAATCAGGTCTGAAGTGCTTATGTTTACCCTTGAATATTTCTAGATTCATTTTGGAAACTCCAGATGAATTTTTGATGTCTTTCCAGTTACATAATGAATTATCCAGATATTTATGAAGTATCCGTATTAGCATATGTCCCTTTATTTTTCCCCGTTTGATGTATTTTTCTATGTTCCTAGTCCAACAATGAATATCCACGATATATTTTCCAATATATCTTGGCCTGAGATATTAATCTACAAAATTCTCTTCCCACTCTATGCTTTTCACACTGAAACAGAATATACATTTGCATAGCCAGCTGTTCTGTAACGTTCTGTGAGCATGTCGTACAGTATGTATTTTCAGTATGTATGCAAAGATAGAAAATTGACTCTTGTGTACATGACTGTGTTTTGTGTACACATTCTCTCCAGCCCTCACTGTCAGTCATTTTTACGTAGTTTAGTATTGGCCATTGCATTTATGACTGGGATTTTTTTTATATTACAACAGTAATTCCTAGCCAGGCACCTCATATAATATATAGTTCATTCAGAATCCACTTTAGTCTTAGACAGCCATCCAGCTTTTGGGGAATTGGAATGTTAATTTGACATCTCCCCTTAATTGCCATCAGTGCAAAATATCAAACAAATCAAATGTATATGTATATTTCATATATTTGATACTCTGTTTGATCATTTGCACTAGTGTAATTAAAGGGAGCATTAAGGGGAGGTGATATATTAACATTGGAATCCACCAGAAACTAATGTATTTTTTTTGTCCGTGTGTGTGTGTGTGTGTGTGTGTGTGTGTGTGTGTGTGTGTGTGTGAAACTGGGGAAGCCAGGAAATCTTCAGGAATGAAGAAAAGTTAAGCACTGTGCCAAAGTATGCCTTGTACTTCCTCAGAAACTTTAGGCCAGCAAAAGAGGCTTCCGTTTTTTCTCAGAGCACTTGAGAAGATTTTTTAAATGCATTTGAGAAGCTTTACACTTGCAAAAAGATCCTTCCGTGATTCTCATTGTGCCTGAGAACTTTTCAATTGAACTTGATGGTGGGTTTGTTTTATTTTATTTTTGTTTTGTTTTTGTTTAGCTTACTGTTTCGTTGGAGATGGTGCTGCATGCTACTACTACGGTACTTTTTTGATTTTGATTTCTTTCACTGCTGATATTCCCAATCTGAAGTGGATAAAAATAACGTGGTACTTTCATGTTGTTTTTCTTTTGGATTTAATTAAATTATACAAAGTGACTTAGACTGCACATTGCTGGAGTGGTGGTTAATTAATTATTTCATTGTTAATATAGCCTGCTTTTCTGCAAAGATATGTTCAAGGTAGGTAGCAGTACATAAATAAATAAATACGAATTAATGGGGTTGCACAAATCCTTCGGTAAGCACTTGGTTCACAAATGATATCCCCCTGTGGATCTGTACCACAAAGCAGCCACAGGTGCTTCAAAGCTTGAGGGAGCTGCTTTAAGGATCCCTTGAAGTTTTTTAGTTGTGCTTGCTTTCCACTGAGGTATTTAATGATGTAAAGTAGCTCACTGGAGGATCTGTAGAATTAAATCACAATTGAAAAGCAAAGATTTGAGGGGGGGCTTTTAACTGTATTAAAGTTTAAGAATGGAAGTGATATTATTTAAGTGTGATGATGATGATGGTGATGGTAATGATGATGATGACAGGAATTGTCTTGTGTTTGGGTACTGAATCAACTTGAATCATAGTATTTGGGTTCCCTTGTCTCTTTATCAGCTAAAGGTCAACTCTATCTCGATGCACTGTACATTTTCCTTTTTCTTACTCATACATATAGATATACAAACAACTTCATTTGGAAAATCCAACAATCCATGAAAATCACACTTGCTGTTACATAGAATTGTACTGCATATCACTGCACAAGTATGAGAGTGTGGTGTGGTGCATTCTGTTGCTTCTAATACTATAAAACAAGCCAGGTGATTCAGAGGGTTTTAATTCTTTATTTGTGTGCTTTCAGAAAGGTTTCTATTTTTCACTAGTTTTAATAATATTTGTACGTATGGAATATGTAAGATGAGATGTCACCTTCTCTGTGTTATGTTCTTTAGACATAAAAACTTCTCTTCTGACCCTATAATTGGTACATCATCTTCTTTCATTATATTCAAAATGAAAAAAAAAATTGGTAGAAAAATGTTTTATTAATTTATTTTTCCTTTGCTATTTCTAGAGAATGAAGGGTATTTATACTACATGGACTTTGCAAGATCTGGCTTTGTGCGTAATAGCTGTAGTATTCTGTTCCACACAGGGTACGTCCAACTTGAGAAGTATAATTCATTTTTAAGATTAGAAAAATGTTAATGAATAGAAGTTACTACCACAATCATACTATATTATTTCCTACAGTTTTCTTTCTTTCTTTCTTTCTTTCTTTCTTTCTTTCTTTCTTTCTTTCTTTCTTTCTTTCTTTCTTTCTTTCTTTCTTTCTCTCTCTCTCTCTCTCTCTCTCTCTCTCTCTCTTTCTTTCTTTCTTTCTTTCTTTCTTTCTTTCTTTCTTTTATTTTTGATTGTTGTTTTGCTGAAGTATCCAGTAATTGTTCAGTTTCTTTATTAACTTAGGAATTAGATTTTAAGACAAGTTGATAATTAGGGGAGTTTATCTTTTCTTCAATCTATGCAGTGTATCCTAAGTTACTGACTGCTACACAATCCTCAAATATTTAGAGAGACTCCCCTGCTTAACCATTCTCAAGGTGTTATTTTCTTCAAATAATTTATTCCTTTTCTCTTCAAATGTATCCTACCTGGTTATGGCTAAATACTTCAATTTTTTGTTTCATCAGTCCAACGCATCTGGTCCCAAAACATTTCAGAACTATCAGGTTTTCTTTTGCATGTTTTATGATGAGGTCAGAGAAAAGATTTCCTGTTGATAATTCTTTCACACCATTATTGCTGTACAAGCAATGCCATTTCTCAATTCAAAAACATTTGAAATGGCTAGTTGGCAGAATTTAGAATTTAACCTTTCTGTGCTTTATAAGATGCTCTATAAGCATATTCAGATGCTAAGAAATGTTCAAAGAAAGCCATGAGTGTTAAAAGTAGATGGCAGCCTAATACTGACATTGTGAGAGCATAGATTCGAAATTTGATATGTCACTATTCAGACACCAAGAACTTGCATCGTTTCCATGATATTTTATTATAGTTTATTGTTTATAGCATGAATAGTCTGAAACTTTCAACCTGCAGATGAAAGGAATGTTGATGATGGCCCTGTGACGTATAGTAGAGTAATGAAATAAAATGATAGGTTATTTACAAGAGAATATACACAATAAAGAGGTTAAAAAAGTGTTTTGGCTCAGCTGTTGATCTTGTGATTGCATCTTAAAAATGGAGAATTTCTAGGATACTTCATCTAACCAGACTATTCTGGGATTTCTTAGGATAAAGTTGTGTCTAAACTGATTGAAGTGTCAGAATATTTTTGAATTTAAATACCTGCAATGTGAATTGGCCACAGATATACTAATAAGCATTGGGCAATATATTTATACAATTTGGTTGGCTTGGGATGGAGCAGTGCATCATTGCTTCTTAATCCTTTTCATTCAAGAATCTTTGATTTAGCTTACTTAATATAGATTACCTTTGCAGAGTACAGCTGTGATAGATTTTCATTTCAGCTATTTAAAGACTAACATTCTCTGATGCTTAGAGAAGCCTAAAAGCAGCCTGATCCAAAAGACGTCTTATAATCATTCTGCTTGTACTAGACATTAGGGAGATTCTCCATTTTAAGATGTGTTCAGAGAATCAACAATTGTCTTTACCAGCTAAAGTAGAACTCTTCATTCTGTTTATTCTCTTGCACACTATTAATCATTCCATTATCTTATTGCCACTACAAGTGACATGGCCATTATCTGCATTCCCAGTACGTTTATAAATTGAAAACATTCAGAATGATCTTGTTATAAACAATGAACTAAAAAGCAACAACCCATGAATGTTTGAAAGGGAACATTCCAGGTTTTAGAATTATATTATTACAGGTTAAAATAAGACTACAGACATGGCATAATAGGTTTAAACTATAGGGAGACATATTTGATTGAAACATAAAAATACCTTTATAACAATAAGAGCAATTTGATAAGTAGAACTAGTAACAGAGACGTGGTAGAGTCCCTTTCATTTATATGCTTGTGACAGCATATTTTTGTACTGCTTTATTTTAATTACTGAACAGGAAGTTGGACTTGATGACCTCTATTGCCCCTTTCTGTCCAATGAATCTATGATTCTACATTTCTTCCATAGCTTGGATTTGATGAAAAAATATTAGTGCTGAGGAAATTAATCCAAAAGTCTAATAAAGATGAGCAAGGAACATTATAAGTGTAGCAGGAAATTTTACTTAGCACTAAGAATCAGACCAAAATATCTTATACTAGGTTTTGAATATATTCCATAGCCTATAAATTGAGAAGCTATTTCTCCTTTACCTTAACTCTATATGATTGTAGAAATAGGCTATAAATATAAATTGTAGCCTACAAACAGAGACAATAGCTTCTCTATTTATAAACTATGGAATATATTCAAAACCTAGTAGAAGACATTTATGGAATAGCTTTCATTATATTGAATTGGGGACATCATGTATTTTAAGTGTTACACAACTAACATTCTTACACATGCATAGACCACTCAGAATCTTTTCCAGCATATTTTGTCTATCATTTGTAATTTTGGAAAGGCCTATATATACATTATTACTATTACTGACTTTGTTCTTTCCTGAGAAAAGATAATAAAGATGTTCATTATCTGAGAACAGATAATGAAGAGATAATGAAGATGAAATAAGCTGTTTGCTTATTTGCATAGGCAATTCTTTTAATCTTCCAGACATGTGGAGGAATGGCTAAAATGAGCACAGCAAGTTTGGAATTATAACTTACTAAAATGCCTTTTAGAGAGAAAAAGGATTTTATAAAGAATATTAAAAGATTTTATAAAGAGAAAGATTTTTTATTTAAATTACATTTACAATTAGCAGTTATTGACTGTTTTATGTTTTATCAGGTTCAGTAATGACAAGCAATCAAGATGTGGAATTGGGTGGCAATGTCACTTTGAGATGCACTTTATTACAACATTCTAATATTTACCAAGTTACATGGGCAAAAAAAAAGAATGGAAATGATGAAAACATTGCAACATACAAGAAAGATACAGGTTCAACTGTTTTAAAATACAAAGATCGAATCAATTTTATAGTTTGGAGCCTTCAAGATACTGCAATTAATTTGTCGAATGTGAGCACTGAAGATAATGGCTGCTACCAGTGTGCATTTCTTTTGTTTCCTATAGGGCCTGTCATGGGACAACCTTGTCTTTCTGTTTATGGTAAGTTTGCCCAAATCAAACTAGCTTCAAAAGAAGATTAAGGAAGCCTTGTCTTTAAATGTGGATTACAATAAATCATATGCTGAATTATGCAGCACTATTAAAATAAATCATATGCTGAATTATGCAAGAAAAAAAAATCAATAGTCCTAACAAGATAAATTAGAGCTTAGTGGAATCTTAACAGAAATTACATCACAACTCAGTATGTATTCATTTTATTTTACAGACGTTTGAGAGGTTTTGTTTTGTGAAGATTTTTTTTTTTTGGCCATTGCAACAAAGCATTTGATCTCTATTATAGTATATTTAATTATTACTACCCATATAAGGCAGAGGCAGTTTTTAGTTTCCCCAAAAGGTTTATACCACAATACCTTGCAGTTACCTTAAATTAGAAATATTATTTAGAACAATTTGGCATCAATCAAATATTTTGAGCAACTCCAACAATCTCTGGGAAGTTATCTAGGTCTGATATCAATTGAAATGCAAAGCATCTGGAAAGGGAAAAGAATTTTATTTAGATTAACAGGATAGAATATTGTGGGATACAAATCTGATTTATATTTTGTTGCAGAACAGCATACCCTGGGAAGTAAAGGTACATTGTATGATATTTGAGGATATTACCTAGAAGTGATTATGTGAATTTTCTATCCAGAAGTTCACTTTCTATTTGAAAGCACACATATGATCTAGTTGTTTCCTTATTCAAATTTTATTGCTCACTTGAGCTCCTATACTATAGTATAAGAGTCCTAGTGGTGCAGTGGATATAATGCAGTGTTACAGGCTAACTCTACTCACAGTTTGGAGTTCAATCCTGGAGGGTTGATGCAGCCTTCCATCTTACTGGGGTCAGTAAAATGAAAATCCAGATTGTTGAGGGCAATATGCTGACAATGTAAACTGCCCAGAGAGTGCTATAAAGCACTATGGAATGGTCTATAAGTCTAAGTGCTATTGCTATTGCTATATTATCAAATTTTGCTCTTGTGATTTGTGTCACAGACAATCTCAAAACATCTACAGACCACAACATCTCTGATAATCACTTGCGTGCCAACTGTTTAGCAACTGGTTTTCCAAGACCAAACATTTCATGGTTTCCACCAGAAGGTGAAAAGAAAGAAAAGGATATCACAAACCCAAATGGCACATTATCTGTCATAAGCAACATTTTTGTAAGCATGTCAAAGGTTAAACAAGGGCTGACTTGCCATGTTACTCACAGAGGAAAAACGATAAGCATTGAGGTGCTAGGAAAAGAAATAGGTAAGTTAACAGAACAGAACAGATAGGCCCAATACCAGCACTTTTCTAAAAGCTCATAAAACTGTGTATCTTTACATGGGAGGGTGTTTGGAAATCTTATTACTGCTAATATTTTTTTCCTTATAAAGTAGGATATTTGTAGTTCAGGGTTGGCATGAGAGGTCCTCTCTGAGCTTGCTTGTTTTGTTGCAGACATTTCATTACCCAAACTAGGTAACATCATCAGTGCTAGTAAGGAGTACAGTTTGCTATCAGTTTATATTCTGGTGGCTTGCCCTGTCAGTATTGGTGGGGGTGGTCTTAGAGATTCTTTGGTTGGGCTGTTTCCTTTTGGCTCTTTGGCAGTTTCTTGACTGAGGTATTATTTACTTGATTGTTGGTCTGATGTTAATCTTGGAGTGAATCTATGATGATCTGGGTGCGGACTGCTAGTGGAGAGGTGGTGGATTCACACTGTTCTTTTTTGGCCATAGTGATAATCTCTTTTGCATTGTCTATAGATGTTGTTAATGTCTATGTGTCTATTGATGGTTGATTTGTCACAGTGCCAGGCTCCTAGAAATTCCCTGGCATTTTTGGATTAGTCCTGATCTAGGATTGTCACATTTTCCCAAACTATGGTTAAATCTGTCTATATGTTGTGAAATTAAAGAATTTTCATGAAGAAATTCTTTGATTTCACAATATATAGACAGATTTAACATCTCCCGGGGCTCACCAAATGGAGGTCCCTCATCAATGGCAAGTGCAACACACTTTCTTTGTAGGTTCTAATAGGGTGGACTGAGGAATGTGAGTTTCAGTAATATAGATCCATTCTGTACTGTCAGTGCAGTAACATTCTCTTTTCTTCCATGCAGACCGTACAAAAAAATCTTTTCCTGTGATACCAATTGTATTGGCTTTGATTCTTGTGATCCTGGTTATTGTTGTGGGTATATGCGGCTGGCGACGACAAAGGAAAAAACATAGAGGTAAATTGTTCAGTTTTATTAAACACAATTTCTCAAACATTTTTATCTTTACTACTTTACTTCATATAGTAAATTCTTTTCATATGATTACAGAATATAAAGTTGCTTGGATTATATCAAGCAAAGATATTAGTATGGGATAATTTGCCCCATCCTATTCCCTATATGTGCATTAACTGAATATTTGAGAAAATATTACAATCCATATTACTATATTGGGATACATACTAGCTCCACTCAATTAATTTGTTTGTTCTAATTGGTAAAAGTTTTTAGAGATTTCTAAAAGACATTTCAACACCACTGTCTGAGATCATTTCAAGTGGATATAAGAGACAAATCCTTAGGATTCATCTATGCAAACTTTCTTCAGAAGCACATTGATTGTACATTCTACCATATTTAGGAGAACTTAGATCCTGGAGGAGAGAAAATATTAGAGACTGGCTTTTTGAAAGGGATGCTAATAAAGATGCCGCTGTAGTACAATCATCCATTTTTTAAATTTTTGCATCAGCATTATAAAAGTGTAGAAGCCAGTGCTACACTCAGTGCTTCACTAACGTAATCACTGCTTCACTCAGAAGGACTTTAACATTCCTGCACACTCGTCTCAAAGATTTTGTAAACAATGTCTCTGTCCTTGTGTGGTGGACAATTGGAGGGCTATCCATTGTGTTCTCCACTGTCCCATTTATAATGAGATCAGGGCCCAGTTATTAATGGCAGATGAATTCAAGGGCTCTGACTTTGAAATACTGAACTATCTTCTTGCACATAGGTTTCCAAGTGTCAGCAACCAAATTCCTACTTTTGTTCTCATTTAAACTTAGAAAGAAATGCTTACTCTTACTTGTAGCTTTGGTTTTATTTTGTTGTAACTTTTTTACATCTAATAGTTTTATTACTTTACCTTAAATTTTCACTGTTTTATTGTTAGTTCATGGTATTCCTATTTTATGACTTGTGGTTACTAGAATAACCTTATTTTCTTACTTACATTCTAGTTGGTGGCTTGCGGGCAACAGTATGTTGACCTGCAGTGTACTTTATTACATTAGCATGTTTCAAATAAAGCTGGGCTTTTGCTGTACTTGTAAAGTTCTGGCCAAAATTCAGCAAAACAGGCCATTAGCAGGAATGTTACACATAACCCAGAGGCAGCTAAGGTTGATTATCCTTTATCTGTTGTCTTATTAAAAAGAGTTACAGGAAAATCTTGATTAACAAAACCATGATAGATGGCAGCTACCAATATATATGGGTTGGATGTGATGACAACCACATTATATAGAAGATTACAACTTAGAATGTATGATGAGGAAGTGGTAAAAGTTTTGAACTGATGGAGTCAGAGAAATAAAGAAAAATGAATACAATATAGGTAAAAGAAGAAGAAATCAAAAGATATAGCAGAACTTAAAGAACTTCAAAAAGGTGCTTTGATTTATAAAGCTGAATGCATGCTAGGAAGTGAATGCACATTTTTATTTCTGAATGAAAATGTTAGAATGTTTGGCTAAAATATTAACAGATTTTATATAAATTCTTTTGAATGTGTATAAAAGTAAGAACCCACAGGTCAGTGATAATGGCAGAAAAGATTTTATTGATTTGCAGCTGCAGGTTTTTCAATATCTAGGCATTTATTTTTAGTCAGCTACCTCCTGGAAAGACCAATTTTCCAAACATATGCTGCATGAATGAAAAACTTGGAGCACAATAACTTATACACAAATAGGAAGGGTAATAAGTATCTATCTACAACAATAAAACTTTTCAGTGTAAAGCATGAAGTCTTTTGTGGTATGGCCCAGTCTAGGAGGTAATTCTCTGGCCCAACTTTTATTGATAGATACAGTTCCGTAAGGGAAAAACAAACAATATCTAATTTATTAATTATTTAAATTTATTTAGCCACCCATATCAAATTCATAACTTTGGATGGCTAACAGCAGTTAAAAGTATTATAAAGCAATATATAACAATTGAAATAATGCATACATAATTGGCAGCTGAGATAAACAAAAACAAAGCAACTTGGTTTACAGCAAGTTTCCCTGGTCTGCAGGCCGTGTTTAAGCTGGGTTTAGATAAAGCCTGGATTAAAGTAAAGAAGAACCACCAGATCTGGCTTAACATAAGTTCATAACTCTGCTATAATAGGCTCATATCCACCCTTCACTACTCTCAGCTTGAAGCCTGAGCCGTTCTAGTGCTTTTCTCTGATTCAATATCTTATTCATCATTTTTATCTCACTTTGTATAGTTTTACCTTTGTAGTGTTTTAACTTGTACTTTTTTATCTAACAAAGGTACAAGAGTTTCATGGATTGCAAAGGCATAAACACATTTTTTTAAATTTTTTTTATCATATACTGTATGTGTGTCCTCATATTGGAAAGTTCTCATACTGGCAGAATAGTTAATTTTCAATTTAGCATACCATTGTTCATTTCTATGTTCTTTGACCATAAATAGATGATGATGATGATGATGACAACAATGATGGTAACTATTTAGAGAATTTATGAAAAAAATCACAAATAACAAGAGGTTCTGAACATGAGCGTTTACAGTACAGAAAGCTACTAAAATATGTTCAGAACACCAACTTTTCTTAATTGATAAAATTAATAGGATGATTGGGGAGCTAGGGGCAGTTTGGAAATGTCTGGCTTTTTTTGGAGAGTGATCTTGAAATTCCAAAGGTCATATTTACACAAATGAATGCTTTGACGGGAAATGTTGGGGTGTGTTTTCCTGCACATTTTCTATCTTGAAGCCAAATGTCATTAGAAGAGATAATGCCAACTTCCTTTCATAAACAAAGCAGTCTGTTACGAATTTTGAATGTATGATATTTAAGATATATTTTCACATGCTCCCTTGTCCCTTCTCTAAGATGCATTAGAAAAAGGGTTTTACTGCATGGTAATTTCAACTGCCCTGAAAATCAGCTTGCTGTAATTTGTGGACCAAGAAACAAGTCACACATAATTTAAAGTTATCTTTTTTCCTCACTTCAACAAGGAGGTTTGCTTGTTTTTGTAACAGCTTTTGGCTTGTACCTGACAAAAGACCAATGTAGAAAAATGAAAAGAAAGCTAATAAAATCCATTTTCTGAATGTATAGAACAGGGGTCCTCAACCTTGGCAACTTTAAGACTTGTGGACTTCAACTCCCAGAATTCCTCAGCCAGCAAAGTCTTAAAGTTGCCAAAGTTGAGATCCCCTGGTATAGAAGGAAGAGGAGATGCTGAGGATTAAATAGCCAGCTAGAGCCATTCATACAAAAGGGAAGAGAAAAAAAGCTACTGCTCTAGAAAAAATATGCTGTTTTAAAGAACTAGCAATTCTTTGTGCAAGTCCCTTCTCTTTCTGCTCAATCTGCACTAACCTTTTCTTATACTTCCTGTAGCGTTTTGGGAAGAATATTCAAAGGTTACAACTCAGTTGCAAAAGTTGTCCTTTCTACTCTCAAAAATTTTGCTTTAATGGAAAATGGAAAGGGATCTTTTCCAAAACAGTAGCATTATGTAACAAGCAGGATGTATTTCTCCAGTAAGAAATCTGACCTTGCCCCTTTCTTTTATGTTACTGATGTTTACCCAGTAGCTATTGAAAGTAAAATCTCTCTCCAGTCAAATTTATCCTGTGGCAATTTCCTGGATACGTTCATATAATTGTCTTTCCAGTTTAGCCTACAGCCCTGCAATTCCCTGTAGATTTTATTAATTAATTAATTTAATATTAATTGGATCCAAACCTGCTTATTAATCAGGCCCAAACCTGATTCAAACCTGTTTATTTCCCCAGCCCAAAGTCATCCAGCAAGTGGGAATGAACTCGAGAGACGGGGTAAAGAGATGCTGCCTAGGGAACAGTCGGTTAAAAGCAGGGATCTTCAAACTTGGCCCTCAGCATGCTGGCTGAGGAATTCTGGAATTTGAAGTCCACAAGTCATAAAAGGGCCAAGTTTGAAGAGCCCTGGTTAAGAGAGAACAGAGTTCTGAGCTCAAAGGAGGAGAGAATGTGGAGCAAGAGGCTTAGGCTCTCCAGGTTATTGGATTATAAAGGTGATGGCTGGAGAATTTCACTTTCAGACTTGCAAGATGCTGTTACTGTAGTTTTACAATAAAGTAGAATTAGCTAATGCAGTTGAGTTTAAATGATAAGATAGACAGCCAGATAGTGCACCAGTTGATATTTGCTACCATTAATACCATCAAATACCATTACCATTATATCTGGGCTAGAAGGGACTTAGTTATTAGTAAAATATAGATTACATTTTCCTTTGAGTAGATTAGGGCTTTGGAGAAAAAACAAATACATTTGAAGAAAGAAGTGCTCCAAGAAATAAGCATTTAAGAATATTTTTCTTGGATATCTATATGATTTCTTCTGGACCCTGATATAGGTGGCACAAAGGATACACCTGTTTGATCATAATATCACAATTCTATGAAAGCATAGTTTTGCTTAGAATTTTAACCTGAGAACATTTAACATTGTATTTTGCCCTCTAAGTACTCTACTCACAAAATCCTGGCGGATAAAGGTATATAGCGGCTAGTCCAGGGCACAAAACAGAACAGATATACATGAAAACATTTTTCTGCCTTCAACTTAAAAAAAAACACTCTGATTTGCCAATATATTGGTATGATTAATTGCTAATGGTAATATAAGGGATGGTGGTCTGAGCAAACATGGAGCTAAGTGGAAGTATATGTAAGACAGAGTCAAATTGTACTCAGACCATGGTAGAGGCAGCAAAAAGGGATGAAAATGATGATAGTCACTGGGCTCTAAGAAGGGAAAGATGGTGTAGTACAGTCGGAGTTGCAAGATTATGCTATTATAGCCCATATTAATAAAAGTAGTTTTAATCTTCTTTGGAATTGATTCTTGGTCTGGTCTACCTAATGAGACTGACAGTCTGACTGGTAGATTGAAAATTTGCCCCCCGGAGAGAGACAAGTAATGAATGGTACTGCCCATTCATTTGGTGGGGAAATGAGAGGAAGACACCTGTCATATTATAAAACACTAGCAGCAGAAGTGCACAAGGAAGGTTAGAGGTTCTGTGAAAATTTGAGGGTAAGGCTATTAGGAAGTTGTATAAGTGGGGTAGAAAGTGAGTATTGTGGGTAACTGCATGCATGATTGTGGTGAGGATTGCTAGGTGGATGTTTGGATAATGATTATGATTGAGAGGGGGTAGATGATTGACTATAAATTGGACTTAGTGGTCCTACAAAACTGCCCTTCATATTATGGCCAGAACCAGGAAAAACAAATAGTACAAAATGCTAGGATCATTGATGAGGGAGGGCAGAATTGAAATAATAATGAACAAAGAAATTTATTACAGAAAGCACTGGATAGATGATTATAGGACAGTGGTGGCGAACCTATGGCATGCGTGCCAGAGGCGGCACTCAGAGCCCTCTCTGTTGGCACGCGCACCACCACCACCAGCAGCGGGTCCATCAGGCTGCCACTGCTGCCCAGAGAAGAAGCCCTGCCCAGCACAAAGGAGGTGAAGCGGCCAACTAGCAAGCTCGAGTAGAGGTGGTAGAGCAGAGGTCACCAACCATTGTTGATTGGTGGACTAGAAGAAAAGGGAGGGGGAAGCATTTTACATATGTGCATATGTGCATGGGGCCACAAGCAAGCACCTGCTGCAAATGGGGCAAGGCTAGTGCCTGCTCACTAGCCCTGCCCTGTTCTTACATGGTGCAGTGCCTTAATCTGCACCCCAAGGCTCAGCGGTGGCCATTTTTGCACCTTGCAGCACGGTGGCCCATTCTTGTGCCCCCAGTTTTTGTGTGCCAGAGACGACACTCAGAGATGCCTCCCTGCCCCTCCCCTGAGGTCACCACAATGCTGATACATCCCTGGCACTTTGCAATAAATAAGTGGGTTTTGGGTTGTGGTTTGGGCACTCGGTCTCTAAAAGGTTCGCCATCACTGTTATAGGAGAAGGAAGACCCACACATGGGGCAGATCTGTTTTTTTTAACCAGTTGTTCCAATCATGGGCTAAGATAGCTGAAAAATTCTGTACCTTGGAGTTATGCTGTGCTGATGTTGTGCTGATTACCTTAGAAGACTATTCAGAAACTGATCCAAAATGAAACTGCCCATTTATTGGCTGTTGCTTGGTACCAAGACAACTCAACTGCTGCCTTTTATATTATTTGCTTCTGGGTGCAATTCAAAGTATTGATTTTAACTTATTAAAGCCCTATGTGCTTGCCACTGAAGTATTTTCAGGCTGCCTTCTCCCATCAGAATTGAGCCACCAATCTGAATGTCTTGGGAGGAACTTCTAGTGATTTCTCATTTTTGTTAAGTAGGTGGGCTGAGGATCATAGTTACTATTTTTCAATGGCTGTATTTTTGCTCTGGCATTGCCTCCAGGAATTCAGACTTTTTCTGGAGATATTGAATATAGCATATACCAGTGATGGCAAACCTTTTAGAGACTGAGTGCCCAAAAACTGGCCCTGCTGCAGCTCCACCCCCTGCCCCGCCCCCAGCCTGCCTACCCGCAGGGCCACTCACCACCTCCAGGGCCCGCCACAGATCACCCAGGCAGCTCAGCAGCACCATGATGGCCACGCCCTCTGCCCGCACCCCACAGCATCAACTGTGCGATGGGGCGTGAGGCCAGAGTCTTGTCTATGCTGCCTGGCTGCCATGTCTTTGGCTGCTCTGTTCTGCGTGGGCCACGGTCGGGGGTGACTCTCCTCCAGGGAGGCTGCTGGTGAGGAGGGGGTCACGGGGGGAGGCAAGGCTGGGGCAACAGCATGTGTGCCCACAGAAAGGGCTCTGAGTGCCGCCTCTGGCACCCGTGCCATAGGTTCGCCACCACTGGCATATACTATTTCAGAGAGCTTGTGGGAATTGAAATAATGCTCAGGTGATTGCATCATAATAGTGTGCAATATTGTATTATTGTTCTTTGTCTCTTATGCCTTCGTGATGGTTACATACCATGGAACATGCTGCTCCCTAGAGAGACTCTTGGCCCTTTCTTTTCCAGCATTCTGGAAGACACTGAAAATATCATTTTTAGTTAACTTTTGGTTCCTTGCAATTAAAAATAAACAACATTATTAATGTTTTAGTATTTTAATGATGCTCTAGGGCAGGGGTAGTCAACCTTGGCTCTTTTATGACTCGTGGACTTCAACTCCCAGAATTCCTGAGCCAGCTAAGCTGGTTCAGGAATTCTGGGAGTTGAAGTCCACGAGTCATAAAAGAGCCAAGGTTGACTACCCCTGCTCTAGGGAATCATATTTCTTTTGCTTTTGTTTTATTGATGAGTTTATTTACACTGCTGATTGGGGTAGTATAGAAATATTATGAAAAATAAAGACACTGAGAAAAAATCATTAGCCACAAGGAATTTAACTGAAGGATCAAGAGACAAAAGCTTGCAAAAATAGATGAAAAAGATTTAGAAAAGTGAGAAAGCTCCACTTACTTTAAACAAGAAGAAAGAAACAAAACAAAACTGAAATATATAAACTATGTTTTTCTCTTCTAGGATTCTAAGATATTCAACCAGCACCAGTTTTTTCTATGGAATTGAAAAACAATCAACGATGCATATTATGAAGTCAGCAACAGTTTAAATGAATATGTGGTCCAAGTTCTGCTTTTCTACTTGCCTTGAAAAGATGCTTACATTTCTCTATTGACATAGTTGAGCCTTTCACGCTGCAGTGAAATGGATTGGCTGTTATAGCTACCAAATCACCCAGTTAAAAGGAAGATTTCAATAGTGACCAATTTTTTTTTTTAGTTTTCAGTGGTATATTGTGATCACTCCTATTTCCTAGAGGTGTGGATGAAGGGCTAGATCATCAACTCTGGACCAATGATCAGATTCATCCTTGGCAGCCACAGGAAAGTTCACTTCCTCTCTGCCCTTTTCCCCCTGTCCAGTGCAAAACCAAATATAAATTTACTACAGTTTAATGGAGAACTGCACAATTTTTAATAAAAACGTGTTCTATATTTCTATCATGGCAGTTCTATTATGGGTAGTAAAGCTTTTAATTTTTTGTCACAATGGATGTTCCCAACCTATATTGGAAGCCCATCAATAATATTCCTTGGAAGAAAAGAATCCTTTGAAATACAACCCAAACTAAGTTCAGAAAAGGAGCAAAGGTTTAATTTCCTCTGTCCAGATGCAGTTCTCGTTTATTCCTGAGTAAGGAAAACAATACATTTAACCTAACGCACAGTTTAATAATATGTGTAACTATAGAACCTCTGCACTTAATTTTATTTGAAGTTTTTTGTAAAAAATTCTGCATATGTGCATTATTTATAAACAAATGCCCTACTGGTATTTCTCACATTATTTTTCTAAAGTATTTGTAGAATACTTCTTTATACATACAGTATATCCATATAATATTTGTATAAAATATCATGCAGTATACGTACCTGTTAGTAACATGGATGTGCATAGTTCTGTGCTAAATATACAATAACCAATCATGCTGCTACTATAATAGGCAGGAGACAACTGAATAGAGAAGTTCTCATCCATCAGACATATTCCCCGTTGTAAGTAAATATTCCCCCTTTTAAGTAGAGAATTCCAGATATATTCTGAGGTTGACTTTCAGTGTTCTGTGTAATATAACTTATAGGGCTGTTCTGAAATGAGGAAAGAAACATACTTCACAGTATAAAAAACAGTTCTCATTTAGTGATCACAACTTAGACCAGCAACTTGTTCACTGCCTTGAGCTATCTACAAAGGTGGGATAAAAACAAAATAACTAAGTAAATAGGTGTGAATGGTCACTAAATGAGACATTTGCTAATGAGGATTACCTAAATATTTGCTTATATAATTCAAAGTGCTGACTTTCGTTTATTTAATAAAAAATCATTTGTATGCAGTTCCAAAAATTCCTGGATGAACTTGAGAGAGTGCTTTCTCGATTATTATGTTTACAATATTAGGCTATGTCATGACTTATTAAATATTGGTTTGTTGAATAACCTATAATTGATAGGTTGACCTAGTGCACTTAGCCAGGCAAACTCATTATGGCTTTTCATTAGCTTTGGACATCGACTTACTGACTTTTCCTTACCATAGAAGTCTATGCCCTCCAAAAAATAAAAAGCCAAACCCACAGAAACCAAAAATCTAATAGTCTTGTTTCTGAAAACTTGCAGGCAATGATATTTGGCTTAGATAGCGCTTTGCTGTAAGTTGATGTCGTAAATATAGTGCATCTAGGTTCATCTGCTTGCTTTGAATGTGTTTTTACCATTTAAAATCATGTTTAGCTTCATATATTATTGTTACTATGTTGTATTTTATTTTATGTAGCTCTATATGTTACTGCTGCTAATAGTACTGAGTTTATTATCCAAAATATCAGTTCCTCTTGCATGTAATAGAAGCAATTGCACAAAAACACTCTCACTTTCTTTTCAAAAATGTCATGCTCTATTAAATTTCAGTTTACTGAAAGTGTTTTAAATTGTTGTTGTTCCATTCATTGACCCCAAAAATGCAAGATATTTATGATGTGACTTTGTAAAACCTTTACACTAAGGCTCATCTTCCTAATCTGCTGGACACTGAGTATACAAATAGTTAAAACATTGATAATCTACAGAGAAAATAAATCTTTATAGCAGCAAGTTTATCAAAATAATTTAACAAAATACTTCAATACTGTTATTAGAATGTTCATCCAGAATTAGAAATAAACTATCCTACCATCCTACTATCTTGCATGTCCTACTAAGTAAATGTAGTGTGGTTAAGTTAATGGAATAAATCAATCATTGTTCTTCTAAATCACATCAGTTTGTATAAATGGGTTGAAGTGATAAAGGCAGGAAGTTGTGAATTTTGTAAAAATTATTTCCATTTCCTGGCCTAGATCTGGAGACAAGCTGTCATCAATGTCATTCTGGGTATATCACATTTTTATTTGCAAAAGTGGAACATAAACGCAGAACAAATATTTTTCATTGATGTGTTTTAGAATTCTATCAGTAAAACTGTTCAGAATTTGTATCGTATGTCAGCTGTATTTAAAATCTCTGTTATAAGTTGTATTTTGCTTTATTTCTCTGCTATATGGGCTTGCTACACACCAAATATTCTAGAACATTTTGTATCAGCTTGCTAGCTCCAGGGTTTGAACTCCATGTATGCAGTAGTATTCATCAAGCATGCAAATGAAAGTTCTGCAAAGATTTCATTATGTTAGCTGACATTAAAAAAATCTTCTTTTTTGTAAAAAAAAAAGGGGGAGGAAAAAGGAGGATTTTTAATCCTCTTTTTAAATAAAAAGATGAAATACAAAATAAGTGAAAAAAGCATATAAAGAGCATACATGAGAAATTTTATATTTACAAAAAGAATCCAGAAAAGGTGAAGTTGTTCCTGGCATCTATTTTCCAAAGAAAATATATACAAAAGCTATTTCAAAAGGTCAAGTTCAAAGCAAATATCTTTTGAAAGCAAAATAAAAATAGACAAATTGTTATTCAACTAATACCAGAATAAGCAAGAGTTTTGGAATTAAGTGATAAAAGAGTCCAAGTCTCCAGATGCAACTGCTTGCTGTCCTTCCTCTCTGTGAATGGTAAGTGTTGAGTCCTTGGCGGGAAGCAGACACGAGAAGCAGTTGAAGTTCTCAGTTTCCTTTATTCAGCGTTCAGCTTACAAGTAGATGGCTTCAGCAGCTCCCAAAACCTCCCAGCTTCTTATATAGACGCTTCCCGGGTAAATGTGATACTTTTCCCGCGCCAGCACCCGCGCATGCGCACGGCGCTGGCGACAGCCTGTCTGGTCCCGGGCAGCTTTGCACCTGCCTGGGACTGCCTGCAAACGCCCGAGCCGTTTGCAAGGCTCGGGACATAACACCCCTTTCCCCCGGGCTAAAACTACTACCAACATATAAACATTTATTTTATGCAGTGTTCTGCTTCTCAGTGCTCCTATCGTTACCTGGCTTTTGTTTAGCCATCAATGTTATGTAATCCTCTAAGTATTTAGGAGACTTCTTTGCTCTCTGTGACCTTCTCAGCTCTGGGTTACTAGCATGAGTTCCCTGACTGGAGGGAGATGTGAGCCTGTTCTCCTTATTTTGCCTTGGTGCCTTCCAAGGACTGTGCCCCGATGCCTGGCCTGCTTGCTTGCCCACCGGGCTCGTCAGGCCAGGGCTTCTGTCACTTTGTGACCTGGTTGACCTGCCTAGCTGTAGACCCTCGGGCCCCTTGAAGTGATAGCCACTGCTGGGCGTCTCTGTTGAACCTCCTAGGTCCGTCCAAGACCTGTCAGGAGGCTGACCATTCCCTGAACCCCGTTCTGTGTCCGGGCTTGTGTGGGTTTCTGTACTTTCCCAAAACTCAGTTACTCCCTGATTTGGGCTAGAGGTGTTGTAGTCGGGACTTGGTTCCTCGACCACCTCCCTGTATGTTTGACCCCCTGTAGAATTTGGGGTAAGGGCAGGCCAACCTTGGGGATTGTGTGCCAGCTCTCTTGCGGGGAATGATTTGTTGGGATGCCCCCGGGTATCCTCCGTGACTGGAGTGCTGTGTGATGTGTGTGGAAAGTGAGTATGCCCCCGGGGTGACTCCCTGGCTGGAGTAGGCGTGGATGCCTGGTAGTTAGGTAGGCTCATATAATTCTTGTTCGGAGCTCTCGCGGAACCCTGGGATGGGCCGTTTGTGGCTCCATCAGTGGAGATGGGCAGCAGTTCGTGCCCTTCCCTTTGCTCCAAAGGGTCCCCCTCCCCCCCCTGGAAAAGACCCAGGAGTCTCATCTGAAAAGTCCCGCCTAGGGCGGAGTTGGTCGATGTGCCGATGCAGGACACGACCGTTGTCCAGGGCAACCTCGTAGGAGAGAGGACCTGTGACCCTGGAAATAGAAGCGGGGACCCAGGTATGACCAGGCCCGTAATTGCGAGCCCAAACCGGGGCACCCACAAGTAGTTGTCTAGGTGCCCTAGGATGTGAGGTAGATGAAGGCAGTCTGTCCGGATGCAACCGGTCAAGTTTAGTAGTAAGTTGACGCCCCCAGCGAAGTTCAGCTGGGCTTCTCCCTGTAGAAGTGGACGGTGTGGTGCGATAAGAAAGGAGAAAGTCAGCCAACCTGTGATGCCAGTCCCCGTAGGTGAGTCTTTTCAAGGCGTCCTTTGTGATGCGCACCATACGTTCAGCCATACCGTTGGTGGACGGGTGGAAGGGTGCAGACGTGGCATGACGAATCATGTTAGCCTGTAAGAAAGCTTGGAATTCGGAGGAAGTGAATTGAGGGCCGTTGTCAGACACGATGACATCTGGAAGCCCGTGTGCAGCAAAAATCCCCCTCAGTACCTGAATAGTCTTTGCAGTGGTGGTGGAAGAGACAGGTACAACCTCAAGCCATTTTGAATGGCTGTCAACAAGGACCAAGAAGAACTGGCCCTGAAAGGGCCCAGCGTAGTCAATGTGCACCCTAGACCATGGGGACTGCGTTTCCTCCCATTTATGCACGGGAGCTTGGGGCATCTCTGGGCGAGATCGTTGGCACAGGTGGCATGCATGCACCTTAGCCTCAATATCCTTATCTAAAACAGGCCACCACAAGTGGCTGCGTGCAAGAGCCTTCATACGAACAATGCCAGGATGACCCTCGTGGAGGGATTCTAAGACCCTAGTCCTCATTGAGGTGGGAATGACAACTCTGTTTCCCCAAAGCAGACAACCCTGAGAAAGGGACAACTCGTTTCTTTTGGACCAGAAACTCTGAAACTCAGGACTAGGGCAGTGCTCAGGCCAGCCGGACAAAACCCAGGAACGGACACGTGAAAGTGTGTGATCTGTACCTGTTTCAGCGGCAACATCCCTGGCACAAAGAGGGAGCTCGGGCAAGGCTTGGATTGATAGAATGTTGACAGCTGGCGCAGGGTCAGCTTCTACTACTGGCAGAGGCAATCTACTGAGGCCATCAGCATGGCCCATTTCTTTCCCAGGCTTGTGGAGTAAAGAAAAATCATATGCAGACAGAAAAATAGACCACCTAAGCATTCTAGGGGAAATGATTTGGGGAGTCTGCTTACGTGTGGTAAACAGTCCCAGCAGAGGCTTATGGTCAGTGAAGACCGTGAAATGCCTGCCATATAGAAAATCGTGGAATTTTTTAATTCCAGCAACAACAGCCAGAGCCTCCCTGTCTATCTGAGCGTAGTTGCGCTCAGCAGAAGACAATGTTCTGGAGTAATATGCAACAGGAACCTGAGTTCCATCAGACCTGAGGTGGCTCAGGACAGCTCCTACCCCGTAAGGGGACGCATCACATGCGATGCACACAGGAAGAGATTCGTTGAAATGTGCAAGTACACTGTTAGAAGTGAGCAAGGCCTTGACTTTGTTAAAGCAAGCCTCATGTGTTTGTGACCACTGCCACACTGCTTGTTTGTCTAGTAGCCTGTGGAGAGGCTCAGCTACACTAGCTTTATGTGGAAGAAAAGAATTGTAGAAATTCAGGAGGCCCAGGAAAGCCTGAAGTTCGGCCTTGGACTTTGGCCTAGGTGCTTCTAAAATAGACGTTAGTTTGGATTCAGCAGGGTGAATCCCAGCAGCATCAATTTTGAACCCCAGAAATTCAGTAGAAGGCACCCCAATCTTGCATTTGTCTTTTTTGAGCTTGAGGCCTGACTTCCTGAATCTTAACAGAACAGCCCTTAGCCTTTCAGCTAGAATGTGTGTGGAGTCTCCTGCAATTAAGACATCATCAAAGTAGGGGCAAACCCCTGGTATACCCCGTAGTGTGTTTTCCATTACGCTTTGGAAAATCCCAGGAGCGACATTCACTCCAAACTGCAGCCTTTTTACCTTAAAGGCTCCCCTGTGGGTCACAATAGTCTGAGCTATAGCAGCATCATCATCAACAGGCAGCTGTTGATACGCTTGAGCTAGGTCAAGCTTTGCAAAAACGCGCCCCCCCTTGAGGGAGGCCAGAATATGACTGACCACAGGAACAGGATAGGCATGTTGCTGCAATGCCTTATTCAGAGTGCATTTGTAGTCAGCACAAATGCGAATGTCCCCATTTGCCTTTAGAGGCGTGACAATGGGGGTCTCCCAAGGACTGGAATCAACAGGTTCTAGGATTCCCTGTTGAATCAGTTTGTCTAACTCAGTGTCAATTTTACTCTTTAAAGCAAAAGGGACCCTTCTTGCTTTAATTCTAATGGGAGTGACAGTGGGGTCTAGCTTTAAGGACACAGGGGGTCCTTTGAATGTGCCCAGCTGGGGGCTGAAAACATCTGCAAATTCTTTGCAGACTTCCTGTAGGTCGAGTGTTTGTAAGCTGTTGAGTCCTGTGACGTGTATCCCCAGGGCCTCAAACCAATCGAGTCCTATGAGACTCGTTCGTTCACCCCCTACTACTAATAGGTCTAGTGGACCTTCAAAACTCTTGTATTGCACGTTAAGGGTGGCCTCCCCCTTAACACACACTCTTGAATTTTGGAAAATC